GGAGGGCTGTTAGAGCAAGCATCCCGTTTCCAGTGCTGGAAAGTTAAGGCTGTGCATAAAAAGCTGAAATATAGATGAAAGCTGCATACTTTTTTTATGTGACTTGTTCAATGTAAAATAAAATATATATATTTCAGTTTAAAACTCTCATACCCTATTTGAGGAATGGCAATGGAAAGACCTTAAAATTTCTAGCATCCAAGACAGCTTAAACAGTGTACTGTCTGGCTGCACTGGGCAGGCACACAGGCTGTCACCTGCTCCCCGTGTGATGGTCATGCAGATGGGAGCACCAGGCTTTGCCACTGACTCCTGCATCTGGAGAAGATGTGCAGGTACTCTGTTTCTCCTTGACCCTTCACCTAATAAGGTTAGCACCCATCAGTGGATCTGGCCTGTGACAGTCATGCTGTGCTTTTAACGGTAGTTTCTACTACCTCCCTTCCCTCTGGAATTCTTCTGTAGGAAGAAATTCTCCCTTTCCCTCATGAATGTATTTATATCAAACCCAGTGGCTTGACTCATTAGAAACTTATGCCCACACAGCTCTGGAGACCAGAAGTCCAAATTCAGGGCCCATAGGGTTTGTTCCCTTGTGGAGGCTGAGGGATCTTCTGTCCCGAGCCTCCTCTGGCCTCTCTGGTAGTGAATGCAGCCACTCTAATTTCTGCCCTCACTGTCCCTCACTTGTCCCCGTGCAGAGCAGCCCCCTCTTCTGGAGACCTCCAGTGCTTGGGTTTGAGACCTTCAGAGTCCAGGGTAGGCTCACTTTTAGATCCTTCATAATTTACAACCTTTTTTCTAAATAGAGCCACACTCAGAAGTAATGATTTAGACTTTAGGGGCCACATTCAATATACTGTAGTAACAAATGTAACTAGTTTTATTCTGTTCACAAAATTTTGACTTTAAGAAGTTGGGTGGGCATGTTTTAGTTTCCCCTTGGATGTCAAACCCTAGGAATGATTTAAAAAGATGTGTTTATCTTAAATACTGTGCTGTGGGTTGGATCTGGCTCCCCATATATTGAGTCCCCACCCTCCACTGTTTGGAGATGGGTCCTTTTAGAAGGTGATTACGGCTATGCGAGTTGAAAGCCTGGGACCTGAGAGACAGAGACAATGGTGAGTGTGTGGAGGAAAGCCACCTGAGAACATGGGGAGAAGGCCACAACTGAAGGCCTCCAAGGGGGCTTGGGAGGAACCAGCCCTTGACACCTTAATCTAAAACTCTCTGCCTTCAGTTCTGGAAAGAAACAAATGTCTGCCAGGCTTTCCCGTCCATAGCTAGAGGAAGGGGCAACTTTCCCTGAGGTGCATGGGTGGAGAGGGCATCTGTGGCCTAGGCTCAAGCAGAGGTGTCCAGAGTCCAGGTGTGAGGTGCACAGCCCAGTAGCATGTCCACCTGCTCCCTGTGAGTGGTCACAGCAGGACTGAGTACAGCCAGGACTCGTAAAACTATTCTGTGTGGGACTCACTTGAGAGCAATGGGAGCAGGGAGTGGGAGACATGGTGAGACTGGCTATAGCTGGCTGCTGCTGCAGGATGACCCACCAGCCCACATCTGAGAGCACAGTGACCTGCTTAATTCCTTGTCTTTTGTAGACAGTTAAGAAATAGAGGAATCAGGGTATTTTTGGAATTATAAAATTAGCAACTAGATCAAATAAAAATAGAAATGATAGAAGTCTAGCTAATTCAGAAGTAGGGTTGGCAAGGGAGACTTAACTTTATGCTTATTTGATTTTTTATTATATTCAGTATATACTTTTATAATTATTAAAACTTAAATCATTCTCAAATTTTGCTAATGCTTTTTACTAGCAACAGAATTTTTGGCATATCCTAGTAAAGTGAAGAACATTACCCTCAATTGTCCATTTCAGAAACTGGAGCCTTCCCTGCCTGTCCTCTTCTGAAACAGTGAAACAGCTTGGAGACAGCAGCCCATAGCAGCATATCGTAGTATAGGCGGTGCATAGGGCCACAGAATGGTGTGGGAGTGGATGCTTAAGACCCAGCTTGCCCGGAAGATGTCATCCGAGAAGATGCATCTTCTAGTAGGTCACTAGAATGAGGATTATAATTTAGGGAAATGATAGCACTCCAACTTCTGGTTGACAGGAGGTGGTGACTTCCAGGGATGCTCCATTGCTCTCTGCCATTTCTGCTGCTAGCTGCCCTCAGTGTTACCAGCCCTGGCTGCTGGCCGCTTTTACAACCAGTGGCTTTTGATGTCACTAGCTCTTAGTCTCCCAGCTCAGCATGCTGTAGCTGAGATGGAAATCACGGGTAGGCAAAAATATGCTATCTGGAAGAGACTTTATTAGGACTTAGGCTGTACATAAGGGGAACACTGCATGTACTGACCCATTAAGGGAACAGGGAGGTTGTTCATGTAGAAGAACAGGGTAGACTCATGTTGGCTCAGTGTCAGATTTTCTGTTTAGTCATAAGAACGGGAGGGACCTGATTGAGGATGGCTGCAGAGGGGATGTGGGGCAGGGTCATCTGGGATGGAACTGTGATTGCAGCTTGCTGGTGCCAAAGCTCATGTCTCTCAGAGTGGCTCTGGTGGATCTGATGTTCCTGTGGCTGGCCATGAGACACCTGGGGCAGCTTCAGAGGAAAGAAAGAGTGAAAAATACTCCTTGGGGAGCATCAGACCCTTCTCTCTGTCACATATGCATCTGTTGGTGCTACTGTGAATGTAGGAGTGCAAATGTCTCAGTTCTTTTGGCTAAACCCAGTGGCAGATTTGCTGGGTCATGTGGTAATTCTGTATTTAATCTTCGAAGAACTTGCATGTTTTCCAGAGTAACTGCACCATTTTACATTCCTACCAGCAGTACACAAGTGTTCTAATTTCTCCATATCTCACCAATGCTTTGTCGTTCTTTGGATAGTACCCTTCCTAGTGGGTGTAAGTGGTATCTCATTACAATTTTGATTTGCATTTCCCTAAGAACTAGTGATCTTGTGAACTAGTGATTTCATGTACTTGTTGGCCATAAAATTATTGGGGTTTCGTTGTTGTTGAAGATTCCATTGTTTTTTAAGCCAGGCTAGGTGATCTATAGCTTGCTCATGAAACCAAAGGCCATAAAGAGAAATGTTTGCTATGAAATGTAGGTGTTTGACAGTTTATATGCATGCAAAATGGAAAGATTTATGCAACATTGAATACTATTGTATTAACATATGTGTTAAATTTTAATTTTGAAAGCATTCATTTTTCTTCCCAACATTTTCATTTTTGTTTACTGACAGTATAAAACTACCTCCAAAGAATATGATTTTTTTCCCCTTCTGTTCAAAATACTTTGTAAAAATAGCAACTAAGTTAATAGTTTCTCCAGAGTGACCATTTTCTTTGCCTAGCACCTGTGGGACTCCCCCAGGGCCTAATCCCAAATCCTTTAAGCCCAGTTGAGCTATCAGCCCAGGCAGTGTCCAGTAGTACCAGGGAAGTGGATGCAATGAGACCACTGGTATGGAAGTGGCAGCCAACAGGCCAGAGACCAGATTCATAGAGGACAGGACGTGGTCACTGCAGGCAGCCCTGCCTAGGCTCAGCCCAGAACAAGTTGATTCCTCCCTGTGGGAGCATCTGAACATGGCCTCTCATTCAGCAGGTAAAATGAGGTCATTCACCTGGTTCGCCTTCTGCCTCTTGCTGCATCGCAGCAGAGTGCACAGGGGTCCCTCCCACTACAGGTAAGCCTGGCTGGCTGCCTGTCCTGCTTCCTGTTTGCTTTCTGTGAAACAGTTTCTGGAAAACAGTGTATTTCTGCTTTTACTTTGATATTTGTGATTTTAGCTATTAAGTTCTCAGATTTAAAGTCTCCATTCTGTATTCTAATCAGTAATAACAAACTAGTGTAAAATTCAAGGATCATTCACATTCCCACGAGTTGGTGTTATTTAGTGTCGCCACAGAACATTGTTGCATGTGTTCAAATGCACTTCTGCTTGTCTTGATGATTTACAGCTGTTGCCTGTGCTAAGTCTGTTTTGACAGTGATAAATAGATGCATGGGGCAAACTCAGCTGTTTTTATTAGAAGTGAATACTAGTGAGTGAAAGGGGGCTGGTAAACAATTTTCTTGTCAAAGAATGATGATGTGGAAATGAGCAACTTTAGTTCCTTGGTTTTGAGCATCATTCCCATGTGCCCCTAACAGCAGCCTTCTGAGTAGCACTTCCTTCTTCCCTTTTAGACTGAAAACAGACTGAATGCTCAGTGCATAAAAAATAAAACTTTATGTACATCCTTAATTTTGAGGGTGTGGATTGCTGTTCATAGTTTTCCATACTATAGGGAAAAAACTTTTAATGAAAAGGTGTTCGAATTGTTTAGTTATTGCTTTATGATTTTATTTTCTTATTGTGAAAAAAGAAATACTAGAAAAGCTTAAATGTATTTAAGTAGTAAAAAAATTATGTTTGTTTCATCAGGTTCCATTAAATGGCTTGACAACAGTTTTATGCTTATTAAAATCTTCAGTGTAGCAGTAGCCTCAGTTACATTTTTTAAATGTAGAAGATAAACAGAAATGCCAAGTGTTTACTTGACACTGAGGGCAAGTTATTAGTCTTAGGTATCATTTTTCACAAGCTTTTACCCAGAATTTTTATAGTTTTATTTATGATCTTCATGTTTTAGTAAAGCATTTTGATACCTGAAGCTGCCTTGGCTGAGCATGTGAAATCTGTGGAAGATTCTGAAGCATGTTTGGCACTTTCTGGTGTCACATTCTCGAAAGAATCGAGATATAGCTTAGATTTCTCAAAAGGAAATATGTATTAGACATTACCCTTGTAATATCAAGCTCATGAACTGTTTCTGAAAACAGTTAACTAGTATTTTCAGAATTAAACATGATTTTTATTTTGCCTCCTGAATTACAAGTCAAGTATTTATTATATTCTCTTACAAAAGGTAAAACAATTGAAGACCTCATTGAAAAAATATTTTAATAAAACATATCTTTATTTCAGTATCTTAAATAGTGAAGATGAAATATTCAGTAATGAAGAGTGTGAATATGCATCCAAAAAAAGGAAAAAGGACCATTTCAGAAATGACACAAACGCCCAAAGTAAGATAATTTTTATTCATAATTTTAAATGTGTTGGTATGCTGAATTGTTTTGGCAGTGCTATCTTACGAAATTAAAGGTGACGCAGGTGTATAAACAAGCACTCTGTCCAGTGTTACCCACTGATTTAGTGATCAGACTTTTGCATCTCTGCCATTTGAGTTTGTAAGATGTGCACAAACAGAAGATGGCAAAACCCACAACACAGCCTCTACAGCTGAGTGACCAAAAGGCAGTCATGAACTTGGTTCATTCCAGAGCAGCCAGGCCACCTGAGAGGGGTGAGAACCTAGGTACAGTGTCATTGAGGCAGGACTCAGGGCAAGAACTGAGTGTGGAGGGGCTGGGATTCGGGACATTGGATGCTGAGGGTCTGGGGATGGCAGGGTGGTGACTGCTGCAGGGCCAACATAACGGATGTCACGAATACCTGTCAAGGTGTAGCAAAGGCAGGCCCAAGTGGAAAAGCTTTGGGATTATGTGAAAATGTGTGCCTGTGGAATATTACAGAGGACAGTACAAAAATGGGACTTTATTAGGGTGTATAAGGTTATATACATAATTTAATGAGTTATATGATCATTAGTGTTTTGATATGACTGCAGTCATTAATAACACTCATTTCTTCTGCATTGTAAGATGCAGTACTATCTTAAATCATTTTCCACGTGAAGGGATCTCAATACATCCTAACTGATACTAGGAAACAAAACATTTCTCTTTATATTTACCCAAGTAAAAGCAATCTCTTACTAATCTAGTAAGTCAGATAATTTTGTTAGCCTGTCCAGTTACTGAAATTCCTTAAAATCTATTTTCAAATGATTTATCAGATTTTAATTTTTATTCTAGGTTTTTATCGTGAAAAATGGATCTATGTCCATAAAGAAAGCACAAGAGAAGTAAGTGTTCTTTATAAGTAAGACAATATATATATAAACAATATCCTGTATTGTTTCTGTTGAGAGTAAAATATCACATCAAATAATCTCTGGCAATGTTAAATCTGTGATTCACATTCTGATAATAAGTACCCAGGGGGAGCTTTTGAAGTGTGGTTCCCAGTTGTAAGTGTGTGTGTGTATGTGTATCTGTGTGAATGTGGTATATTTGTGTAATATTGCATATGTGTGACATGTGGAGGGATATATGTATATATTGGTGTTGTGTGTGGTATGTGCTATATATATGTGGTATATGTGCATTTGTGGTATGTGGTACACAACGTGTGTGTGATGTGTACATATGCGAGCTATAGTATGTGTGATGTTTGTGTGGCATGTATATGTGTGGTGTGCCTATGAGATATGTGCGTATGGTGGCATGTGTATCCATCTAGTATGTGTAGGGTGTATGTGGCACATGCTTACGGGGCCGTGTGCATATGTGGTGTGTGGTATGTGGCAGTGTACTATATGATCCCTGTGTGTCTCAAAATCACCAGCGGTTCTTTCACAGTGCGTTCCTGTGAGGTGTGATGCACTATCCGAGTGAGCTGCTGTAGTTGGGTGAATGTGGCTAGCTCTCATGTGCTGAGGGTGAGGACGTCTATGAGTCCCTCGTTCCATATGGAGAGTGCCTTTGTGAAACTTACCAAGATTGGGCTTGCAGAGCAGTGTGAACTCCTTCCTGCCTTGTATAGCCAAGTTGGCAGAGTTTTCAATGAACCCTTAAACAAGTGATGGCGAACCTTTTAGAGACTGAGTGCCCAAACTGTGACCCAAAACTCATCTGTTTATCACACAGTGCCAACACTACCCCTATGTGGGTTGTTATCTGGTGCTCAGGTGCTGGGGTGACTTGGCTGACATGCCCACTGTGGCACACATGCCATGGGTTCGCCACCACTGCTTTAAACAAACCAGTTAGCTCTACTCTCTGTTTTCCTGTTTCTCTACTTACTTTTGAGGAAGCCTAGTTCTTTTTGCAGCCTTTGAAACTCTGCATTTGCTTTATTTCACAGCACTTCTGGGAAATAATTCAGAGAGCAATTGCTTATTATAAAGTTAGGATAAGTTAAATGTTGCAGAAATGTTAATAATTGATGTCTTAAACTAGCCCAATTTGCTAAAAACATAAAGATTTGATTCTGAGAAAGAAAAGTTACTCAATCTATTTGGTGATGATGTTGTTAAATGGGTACAGCACAACCTCAATCCTTAGCATATACTCCAGGATGCCACTTGAAGAGTGACAGGTATAGCCTGGTTTGTTTTAAGATTACAGTTGGCATAGCAACAAAATTTGCTGTGGGCTTCAGGGATGTCCCGTGGATCCTTGGAACAGGGATCTGACAGGCTCAGAAAAGACCCAGGCTAGTGCTGGGAGCTGGCAGGTCTATGTCCTGTCGCACAGCTTCCTCCTTGTACCTGATGCAGGCCCATGCAGCTTTGAAGGCAGGCACATTCATGGTCTGCCCTGTGAACCAGGTTTGGTTCCTGTTGTAAGATGGCAGCTACCTTGGTGAGTTTTCTGTACTACCATTAGAAGTCTTTTTTCCTTCAAAAAAGAAGAATTAAGGCTGTCAGCTGGAATGGATTTCAGATTACGACTTGCACCTAGTTAGCCTTTGCTTCCCCACAGCCAGGAGAGCATTCTGCACATACCAAATGCTTGATGCACATGTGTGTTGCAGTTTTCTTGTGAGCGTGTGCTTTGTGCACACATTGGGACTCTTCCTGGGATGGGCACTGCCAGGCATGTCTTCATATTTCCCCCATAATTGAGACCGGCACACTTGTTGTTGCTCCAGCTACCCCAGACCAGTTGCACCCATCTGCTTTAAATTTAGGGATCCATCTACCAACTTGTGGTTTGTTATTGTCCTTTAGCATATCAGCCCCTCAAGACCATATTGAAGATTTGCTTATAGACTTTGAGTGTTTCAAATACAGAGATGGCATTTCAGACAGCTTCAGAGCCTAAGGTGCAAATGTGCACAAACTGATACAGAATAAAATGTATGCCATTACAGAGGACTTCCAAGATGGAATAGCACTGTTTACAGGACTGAAAGAAAGTTACACTTCCTGTCTGATCCCAGGACCTGGGGTCTCATGACCAGCTTCTGGCTTTTTGAGTACTCAGCCTTCATGCTCCCAGCCTAGGAACAACCCATTGTCAGGTCTACCCACCTACCCCCCGCTCTCCACCCACTTTCTGTTGGAGGTCCCCTCCATGGCCAGGTCCTCCTAGACTAGCTTGCACCCTGGTCAGTATAGGACTCTCTGTTCTAGTGATATAACCAGCATCTGTAGCCTTACCCTCAGCAAAAGAAATCAGCAAGGTATATTATAAGTGCTTCTTACCAAGATATATTATCTAAAGGTACAAATTTCCAGTGATAAATGTCATTATATTGTATGCCTAAAATGTACCAATAAAATTAAAAACTAAAAAAAGTGCTTCTCTTTGTCATTATATAAGCAGTGCTGCAAAGAGTGTCAATTAATGTAATGCATGGTGTCTGGGTTATGCAAAAATGGCTTGATTTTACTCTATGCTATGATTTTACTCTATTCTCATTTAAACCTGGAACACATCTTAAAGTGAAAACAAGTGTTCTTTGCCAAAACTGTAAAAACTGTTCACACAGCCTAATTAACATTAACTGTCATCATGCTTTGGCTGGTTGCCTGAATTTAACTCCTCTCTGCTACTTTCCAGAGGCATGGCTATTGTACCTTGGGAGAAGCCTTTAACCGGCTAGACTTTTCAAGTGCGATTCAGGATATCCGAAGGTTCACTTACGTGGTCAAAGTAAGTGTTTTGTTTCAAACACTATTTTGATGACACTTTGAATAACTGTGTTTTGAAGATTACACATTTGGAATGTTCAAGATGCTTTGGACACCTGCAGAAAGATCTGCCTATTTGTTATGTAGGAAGAAAAAGGAGCAAGCTCAGTAGAAAACATGGGTTTGGGTTTTCTGACATCAGTGTCACAGAGTGGGGGACTCTGGCAGCAGGGTAACCCTCCCTGCCTTAGGCTTTGTGGAAGCTCATGCTGCTGTGGTACCTCTTCTTGGGCCTACCTTGGACCCAGCTGGGCTCCCTCTGGAAGATCCCAGAGTCTGTCTGTGAATTTACATGTATTTTCCACTTTATGATTTCCACAAAAAATGAGCTTCATTTCACAGAAGAGGAAATAGAAAAAAAGGAATTTTATATAAAACACAATTCCAGAAAAGCCTTGTACTAATGGTGTATCTTTAAATAAAAATTTTATTTTGGGCTACATTCAGAAGGAAAAGATCTCAGCCATATGGTCATTAACAGTTTGCCTTTGTTTGTCTAAAGTTTAACTACTGTGTAGTTTGCTCATCTTTACTCTGTTGTAGGCAAAGGACAAGTCATAGTTTACAAACCTATTAATTTTGCATTTTTAATGGTGTTGTGAGACACTGGAAAGATTTTTCTCTTAATGGCCTTTGGGCATTGAAAATTTGCTGGAAGAATGGAACCTTGGTGGTCGATTAGCTGTGGCCCTGCTGGCTTTGCTGTTTGCTGTGGCTCATTCTCCCCAGGGCAGCCAAGGAAGTGGTACCTGTGGCTCTACATGCAGCTGCATTGGCCAGATTCCCATTCTTCTCAAAGTTCTCATGGAAAGGGTTAGAATGACTCCTCGGGTATCTCTGTTTTGTAGAGTGGAACTGAGATTCGACTCTGCCTAGTCAAAATGTTCAGAATTAAGTGGCAAGGAGAGGTGAGAGCCAGCAGAGAGATCTGTTGTACAATGGCTGTTTCTCCACTTGCTCTCAACTCCTCTTGAGTGGCATTTCTTGACCATCTGTCTCCTGGAATGGGATTCTGTTCTTAAGCTTGAGGTAGAGGCCGGGGAGGGAAAAGCCACTGCCACCAGGCAGGATGCTGGACACTGGGCTGCGTCTTCCCACTGGCCCTGGAGAAGGTCTGAGTGTGTAATGCTTGGTTTGGGGCACTGTGTAGACCAGAGCCAGGCTTTATCAACTTCAGCCATTAAGTCATGTCAGGGCTTTTGTTTTGCCTGCATTCTACACATTGTTTTTATTTACTAGGTAGCTTTTCCTTCAGTTGACTTTGAAAGCAGAAATACCTATGTTAGCTTTGCACTAAACTATAATACCTCTAATTTAAATGTGCTATTTCCTAAAGTAGACAAATCTTAGGAACACAGATTTCAGAATCACAAAGTTTATGTACCTTAATTTTAGTTGTTTGAGAAATTAGCTTAAAGAGATCCTCTCTGCCCTTCAGGTGGATCAGTGAGGTGGCATGTCCAGGGTCAGGTACCTCAGGTTCATGGCTTTGGCTTAGTATCTAAGCCTTCCTTCCCATGCTTATGTTTATTTTTTCCTTTGGTGTTAATGTACATGGAGTTGATTGCCCTTGTCTTTATTTAGACTTTTTTTTTTTTGTACCAGGGATCAAACTCGGGACCTTGAGCTTGTGAGGCGGGCGGTGGAACCACTGAGCTAAATCCCTGGCCCTTTGTTTAGACTTTTATGTTCCTGGGAATCACTCTTGTCCTGGTCTCTTTAGGCCTAAATGCTCCTTTCTGTTTTCTAAGTGTCTTGAAGATTTATTCATTAATGAATATTCATTAATAGGTTGGAGAGCTTAGATATCCTGGGTGAAAACATGTAGTTATGTGCAGGTTTTTTATTTAAAGACAGTTTAGGTCCCTCCTGAGAACTACTTGGTGGCCAGCCCCCCACCCCCCACCAGTATGCAAGTACAATGAGTTGGATGCTGCCTCCTGGAGAGCCATGCAGAGCAGTGCCTCAGTAGACACACTGGGGTCTGAATTCCTCTCCATTGCTTATTCACCCACCAGAGACTTTGGGCAAGCAGCTGCACCTCCTCACCATGAGGACTGTGGGGAGATTTAGTCAGTAGAGCCTGGGGGCAGACTGCACTCTGAGGATGGTGCAGGCAGACCTTTGACTACCCACAACTCAGGGGGTGAAGAGAAAGACAGAGACCAAAATAGGCTGTCCTGACACCAGGGCAGGCTTTTGCTCAGATCTCATTTTTTGTAATTCCATAAACTTAGATGGAAGGAAAGTGCCTTTCTCAGTGCATCATATCATGTTCAAATGGTGGCACTTCAAGCTAAAGGAAACTATTGAAAAGGGATGTCTTTAAAATTTTTGATGCTATTGCTAAATAAGCCTTTGCTTTGTTGGCTTTGTTGGACTCTGTCTTAAGGGACACAGTTGAAGCTAATGTATTGCCATATCATATGGACTGGTTAGCAGGACAGTAAATAATAAAATTTTGCCAGGTACTGGTACCTTATCTTTTCAAGAAAAGTCATTACTTAGACTATTGGAAGTTATTTCTACTATTTTATAAAAAAGATTCTTCACATAAGGATGTCCTCTGGTTTCCAGTTAGCCTGATTTCTTTTATACAGAAAAAGATATATAAGCACTTTTTCAAAATCAACTTAGTGTTGATTCAAGAATTGGCTGTAAAATGTTTAATTCTAGACATTTTCTATAGTTTTTCCTCTTAAGAAAATGCTGGATGAAAGTGTACTAGCAAAACATTTAATGACTCTTAAGAACAAGATTTGTTAAAGAGGAAGGACTGAGAAAGCAGTCTTGGGACCTCTGGAAGCTGGCACCTTCAGTGGAAGTGCCTGTCACCGGGCTTTAGAGTTTCACTTGACTTCAATTAAATTGAATATGACCTTGGAGCTCTGGCACATTTAAGAAAAACTGAACCTAATTGATGAGGATGGTGGATAGGTTGTGCCTTAAAAGCTTGCCTCCCAGATGAATATCCAAATCACATTTAAGATTTGGGGTACCATTAGTACATTCTACAAGTGGGAAGTGTCATCTGTATTTTTCTGTAATTCTCAGCATTTTTATACTATCAAAAAGATAATTTGTAGAGTATGGCTAAATGCAGCAACTAAGAATACTTTTATTAAAATTAAAAATTATATGACAGTTCAACTTTAGGTAAGATAGCATTCTTTCTGCCTGTGCTAGAAGTCTGAAGGCAAGATGAGAGTCAAAAGGGGTGTTAATTGCCAGGAAAGGTTCCTCAGAAACCCTCTGCTTGAGCAGCGTGTGGATGGTGTCCTGCCGCTGGCTCTCTTGGGAGAGATGGAGGAGACTGAGCAGAAGAAGCCCCAGGCGTTGGGGAGCTTAGGGAGGCTACTGAACCATTGCTAGGAAATCTGAGACTATACCAGGGTAAGGAGAACCACTGCAGTTCTGCCAGAGCCTGGTTTCACACAATAAGAGTTACGTGCTTTTGTGTGAAAGACAATAACTGAGGCACTGTAGAATCAGATGATCAAACCTGACACCATGGAAGGGTGTTCAGAGCTCTTCATTTTGCTCCACACTCAGGGAATAGAGACAGCCAGGAGGGCCCAGTGCAGACTTTGAAGCTACACCTGCTGTGGGCTGGCTCCCTACTCTGGCTCTTGGGTTTAGGTTGTGTCCTCCCTCTCTGTACCTCCACTTTCTGATCCACAGGGCTGGGAATTGAAGGATATCAGGAAGTCCTTCAGATAGTACCTTTGTAATCGGGCTCACTGGAGGTCTATCAAGTATCTCACCGGATACAGAGTAAAGATGGAGTGCAGGTGCTTCCCTGTGCCAGTGAACAACACCATGCATGCTCTAGAGTGAGACCGCCTGCCTTTATGCACCTCTCCTACCCATGAGACCAGATGCTCACAAGACTGACTGTGATGGTGAGGAAGTCCATGGTCTTCACATACCTAAGTCCTTCCTGCCCACCTGGCTTTTGCAGCAAAAGAAATCATAACCTCAGCAACCTGAATCCTGTCTCTATTATTGGTTCTAAACTGAGGCAGAAACTTACACTGCTTATTGTGACATTGGTTGAAACGAAGAAATTCAATAGTAATATTCTGCGAATTTGAAAAGATAGGGCTGCAGATATAACAGGGATAGAGCACTTGCCTCACATGCACAAGGCCCTTGGTTTGATTCCCCAGCTGTGCACACACACACGCACACACACACACACACACACACACACACACACACACACACGGAACCAGGCTAAAGTTTTAGTGATGGGTTTGTCAGCTTTGCTCTGTGGCCAGTTCCCTGAACTGTGTGTTTCTTTCATCACTTTAGTAGAGGCACTTTCTATATAAAAGGCAGTTGGAAAATGTTTTTTTCAGATTATCGTGGTATTGTCATATTGATAGTGTTAATTGTGGCTCAGTATATGAGTTAGCATTTTCTTTTCATCTGGATTTCAACAGAGGCTAGAAGGAAAATTGGAAAGGAGGGATAAAATCCTATTTTCAGAGAAGTAGGCAAGTACAATTCAGACTGTGAGGTATGTAAGGCCTCCCCCAGCAGCTAGGACTGACATAGGCAGAAGGAAACAGAAGTATGTGGTGACAGAGATGCAGCCTTCACCTACCTTGTAGCTGGGTGCTAGACTCTGGCTTCCAGTAAGAGTATAAAGTCCAGCATGATGGATGGTAGCAAAGGGCTTCTTGGACCCAATTGTGTTTAGTAAGGTGGTCTGCGGGGCCACCTGTGGGATTGTCTGTGTGATACGAAGCAGTGCAGAAGAAAGCCTGGAACAGGGAGGCCTGGACCCCTCTTGGACCCCTCCTGCAGACTCCTGCAAAATAGAGGCCAGGGAATTCCACTTCATCCAAAAATAAGTATAAAGAAGGAGGCAACTTTGAATACATGAATATTCTCTGAAGAAAATTTGGAAAGAACAGTGAAACCGGTCAATCAATGCAGAACACCAGAAAAAAATGTCCATGAAACAGGATGGAAATTAGGACCGCATCTCATTGTGAAGGAAAAGCAATAGGACCCCAGTTTACCAGGCAGAGAAAGTGGGCTCCAGGACAGACACAGGGAAAGATGTCAGTAAAGCAGGAGATGACAGGACCTGGGCGCCAAGGAAACTGAGGGACTTCTAGAGGGGCAGGCAGGATTAGAGAAAGAGGGGTAGAGGTTAGGGTGTCAGGGATGGAAGACACATGAGAACCAACAACAAGGCTGGGCATCAGGGTGAGAGGGCTGAGTGAGATGGCACATCCACACTCAGGTCTTCAGAGAGCAGCATGGTACTGGAACTGGACAGGCTCCCATCTGGTTTGAAAGGCTCCACTGCCCAGAACATTCCTGGGCAGGCCATGTTCTCGCAGAGTTACTGGATTCTGGAGAGGTGAGGACATGCTCAACAGGGAAGCAAACCCAGAGTCTCCATGGGAGGAAGAATCAACCCTTAGGTTCTCTACATCCCTTGAGTCATCCCTGGATCTTCCAGGGAGAAATGGCAACCTGTGAATTTTCTGTCCAAATGGTCTGTATTTTGAGACTGTACTCAGACAGTGTTGACCACATAAGAATTCGGGAAATATTATTCTCATGAGCATTTTTAAAGAAAGATTTAGTGAGCACATAATTTATGGAGTACAGTGTGACATTTTGATATGCAGGTACAATGTGTAATGATCAGATCAGGGTAATTAGCCTGTCTGTCCCCTTAAATATTCATCATTTCTTTTTAGTGAGCACATTCAAACTCCAATCTTGTAGCTATTTTGAGATATACAATACTTTAACTATATTCACCCTGATTGTGTTGTGTTATGTTCCTTCTGTACCTCATTTGCTCAGAGTTTTATCACAAAGATGTTGAATTTCATCAAATGCTCTTTCTGTATCTGTTGAAATGATCTTATGGTTTTTGTGCTTCATTCTGTTCATGGGATATATGTTGTTTATATTTGTATTTCTTGAACCATCCTTGTATTCCCTGGTCTTGATTGGAGTGAGTAGGCTCTTGATGTGCTGTTGGTTTCAGTTTGCTGGTGTTTTATGAAGGGTTTTACATCGATGTTCATTAGCCTAGTGTCTTGTTGTTGTATCCTAGTCTGGTTTTGGTATCAAGAGAATGCAGCCCTCATAGAATGTATCTGGGAGAATTCCTTCTCCTTAGGAGAATCTGAAGACCAATGATGTTCCTTCTTAAAATGTTTGATAGAATTCAGCAGTGAAGCCATTTAGTCCTGGCTTGTCTTTGATGGAAGACTATTTCTGACTGAATTTGTCTCTTCAGGTTTTCTGTTTCCTTAGGTTCACTCTTGGTAGTTGTATGGGTCCAGGGATTTTTCCCTAGTTGGTTCAGTTGTTGGAAGAGAATTCATCTCTAATGACCCCATCTATGTGGTCAAGTTATATTGTCTCCTTTTTCAGCCCATTCCTTGGCAGTCATGAGCATTTTTTAGGAAATTAAATTCGGCCAATCAAGAGATGGCTGGGGAAGCAATGGAAATGGACAGCAGTGCTGGCCAGTGCTTCAGCTGTCCACCAAGATGAGAGCACATATTGGGACCAGGGTGTTGAGGCAGAATGGGACTGGTGTAGGCCTTGGCCATGAGGAAGGGGCACAGCAGTACCACCAGGAGGGAGACAGAAGAGGTGGCTAGTAGGTTCTCACTGTTGCCTGTGATTGCCAAGAGAATGATGTTCACAAAAATCAAGCTGTAGAGGGGAAGAGAGAAGGAAAGGGAATTAGAGAGTGGCAGTTCATTTTACTGGGGGGGGAGCAGTAAACTGACGTGACTTACTGAGGTTCACTGTCTCTCAGGAGGGTGAGAGAGCCACAGAGAGTTGTTATAACGACGATACCTCTAGGACAGAACAATACACTTTCCTAGGTTTTTAAAGAATTACAGAGAGTGAATGAGGACTTTTTTTTAAGTTACAAAATCAAGTAATACAAGTAAGACCAAGTCTGTGTTGTAGCAGTAAACGTAAAAGATTTCCAAACTAGAGCAGCAGCAAAGCCCAACTCCACACTGTGTGTGAGGAGTACCTAGAGTGCAGAGATTCACAGAGGTGGGAGTGCAAGGGTAGGGAAGGCTTGATGGTCCCATACAAGTAAAAATGCCGTGTAATAGAAGGAAAACATAGCTCCTTTGCAGTGTCCGGAGACAGTCAGTAAGCAGCAGGCATAGCAGGAACCCAGGGCTGCGAGAGGCAGGGCGGAGGTCAGTGTGGGCACCCTCGTTCCCTTCACCAAGAGGTCCATCATACGTAGATTCTGCCACCGTGTGGTGCTGCTGCTCCTGAGGGTCCTGCTGGGCGTGTGCACACCCTGGCTACAGGGTGGTTGAAAGGGTTGGGTTGGGGTTTGCTTTGGCTTTTTCTCTTTGGTCTCTGGGTGGAAGGGCCGTGCAGCCTTCACAAGTGAGTCTGGGCATACAGCGATGCTGCGATGTGTGAACTAGTTTCATAGTCAACTTAATCACTTCCTTTACCCACCTGCTTCCAGAATTGGCAGGATGGTTGGTGCCAAGTGCTGCGGTGCATGCACAGAGGCTGAGCGCCTCCTCTCAGGTTTGTAGCAGGGACCTGTGCAGGGCTGGAAAGCTGGGGGCCAGCTCCCACAGTGACCTCGGCTTCGGTGCCCAATGCCCATAGCTGGATGCAGGCTGATGCAGAGGCCTGTACTTGTGCCATGTCACCATAGTATGTTTCCATGTAAAATGAACATCTACGTCACAAGTTTCTTTTCTCTTTCCTTTAAGCTATTGCAGCTAATTGCAAAATCCCAGTTAACATCATTGAGTGGTGTGGCGCAGAAGAATTACTTCAACGTTTTGGATAAAATCGTTCAAAAGGGTAAGATGATCACTGGCATTTTTAATAATCCAAATCTTAATTAGAAATTTGGTGCAGGCTGGGGATTTAGCTTAGTGGTGCGTGCATCTGCCTTGCGAGTGTAAGGTCCTAAGTTCGATCCCCAGTACCAAAAAAAAAGAAAGAAAGAAAGAAAGAAATGTGCAAAAAAAGGAAAATTTTCTTTCATCTTTCCCCGGTATATAATGGAGCCAAAAATAATAATCAAATATTGTGACTGCATCAAATAGGACAACAGCACATTCCTTTAGCTCCAAAAGCTCAGTGTGCTGCTCTTTACTTTTTTAAAAGTTGCTTTTGCATACACATGGATATATTATGACAGGAAAGATCATGAGTTCCAGATCTCTAAAAAGCCACTTTCCCTTTTTCGTAGTTAACTAATCACTGTTCATTTAGCTTCCTGGTTCCATAATTGACAGGACTGTGGCTCATTGATTTAGGCATCAAATAAACCAGTATTTTAAGAAAATGTAATGACCTTGCCTTGGTTTGTTAGTAGCTATAAGTAAGGGGACTTTAAATTTTACAACATTAGCTTATGTGTGCATATAGGAATTTATAACTATATGTGTAAGCCATTTTTAAATATTTTCTGTGATAAATACAAAAGAAAGTAAATGCTGACAATTTTAAAGGTAGAATTGTAGACCCAACTGAAAATTTACCATCAGATGAAATGTTAAGGTTTTTTAAAATGTTGGTAGGCCTGTGATACCTAAAAAATGCTTCCACTTTGAGTTGTAGTGAGATGAAATCCTCGTGGTTTTCTGTGGTAAAATATATATAAAATAACATTTACCATTTTAAGTGTATAGTTCAGCAGCATCACCACCATCCACCTCCGGAACATCTTACCGTGGAACAATATTCCACCATTCCTCCTACCCTCACACCTGACACCCACCACTTTATTTTCTGTTTCTATGATTTTGACTAATCTGGGTACTTCATGTAAGTGGAATTCTACCATGTTTGTATTTTGTGACTGGCTTATTTCACATGGCACAGGACGTCTTCAGGGTTCATCCGTATGTAGGATATATCAGAATTTCCTTCCTATTTGTGTATTTTTAAATTTTTGTTGATTGATTTTTTTTAGACAGAGTCTTGCTTTGTAGCCCAGGCAGGCCTTGAACTTGTGGTGATTCTGTTGTCTCAGCCTCCCAAGTGCTGGAACTACAAGTATGCCACACCGCACCTGGCTTCCTTCCTTTTTAAAGCTGAGCAATATTCATGGTGTGGATGGACCACATATTGCTTATTTGTACATCTGTAGTGGACGCTTGGTTTCAACATTAGGTTATTTTCAAAATGGTGGTTCACTGTGCCAACACACAGCTTCTTGTTCATTCTAGTTCTTGATGACCACCAGAATCCTCGCCTGATCAAAGATCTTCTGCAAGACCTGAGCTCTACCCTGTGTATCCTTATCAGAGGGGTAGGAAAGTCAGTGCTAGTAGGGAACATCAATATTTGGATTTGCCGCTTAGAAACTGTTCTTGGCTGGCAACAACAGCTACAGAATCTTCAGATGACTAAGGTAAAAATTTCTTTTTATAGGGCCGGGGATTTAGCTCAGTGGCACTGTGCCTGCCTCGCAAGTGCAAGGTCCTGAGTTCAACCCCTGGTACCAAAACAAATTTGCTTTCTATAAATACATTTTTATTTTTCATTGACACAGTAATTTTATATATTTATGGGCACAGTGTGACATTTTAGTACATATATGCAATGTGTAATGATCATGCCAGAGTAATTGGCGTATATCTCTTCAGACATAGAATATTATTTCTTTGCACTGGGAAAATTCAAATCCTCTCTACTATTTGTTTGGAAGTATTCAATTAATTGTTGTCAACCATAGTTACCCTACTCTACTATAGACTATTAGAAATTATTCCCCCTATCCATCTGTGTGCCCACATTATTATTAACCATCCTCTATCCATCCTTTCTCCCCCTTCAGCCTTTCTAGGCTCTGGGACCTATGATTCTATTCTGTACTTCCTTGAGGCCAGCTGTTTAGCTTCTGCATATACATGCAAACATGGGATGTCTTTCTGTGTGCAGTTTCACGTGCCATGTCCTCCAGTTCCATCCATGTGCTGTAAAGGACAGGATTTCGCTCTTTTTGAGACAGAATACTATTCCATTGTATACAGTATCACATTTTCTTTACTGATTTCATCCACCAGTGAACAACTCAGTTGATTCTTTCAATCTTGGCTATTGTGAATAGTGCTACACTAAACCTGCAATTACAAACATATCTTCAGCATGCTGATTTCAGTTCCTTGAGATATCTACCTGAGTGGAATTGTTGAATAGCTGTTTCTGAGGATTTTGTTTTGTTGTTTGGTGTTTTTAAGGTACATCATACTGTTTTCCATATGGTTGTACTAATTTACATTTTCTACTGTGTATCGGAGCTCCTCTTTCTCTGTATCTTCACCAGTGTTTATTTTTTGTCTTTTTAATAATTGGCATGCTGCCTGGGTTGAGATATCTCATTGTATTTTTTTTCCCCTGATTACTGAGGTGAGCCTTTTTTATATATATACTTATTGGTCTTTTGTCTGTTCTCTTGAGAAATGTGTAGCTTTTTTTTTGGTACTGGGGATTGAACTTGGGACCTTGCGCTTGCGAGGCAGGCGGTGGAACCACTGAGCTAAATCCCCAGCCCTGTGTATCTAATTTTTTGTTTTGTTTTGATTTGTTTTGTTTTTGGTACCGGGGATCAAACTTGGGACCTTGCGCTTGCGAGGCAGGCGGTGGAACCACTGAGCTAAATCCTCGGCCCTGTGTAGCTAATTTTTAAATTGGATTATTTGGGATTTCTTTGCTGAAACCCCAAAGCACTGAGTTCTTTATATATTCTGGAAATCCCTTGTCAGATGACTAGTTTGAAAATCTTTTATCCAGCTCTGTAGATTGATCGAATATGATTGTTTTATTGCCTGTGCTTTTGAGGTCATATCCAGAAAACCCCTATCTTGTACCAGTATCTTGAAGTGTTCCTTGCCTTTCTTTTTTTTTTTTGAGACAGGGTCTTGCTGTGTAGTCCAGCCTGGCCTTGAACTTGCTGTGTAGCTGAAGGTGACCTCGAACTCTTGGCGATCCTCCTGCCTCAGCTTCCTGAGAGCTGGGATTATAGGCATGAACCAGCACTCCTGGTTCCCCTGTCTTAGAGTAGTTTCATATTTCAGGTCTTAGATGTAGGTCTTACCCATTTTGAATTGACTTTTGTATATGATGAGAGATAGAGGTCTAATTTTAGTGTCATGCATATGAATATCGTTTTCCTAGCACCACTGTTGAAGAGTCTTTTCTTTATCCACCGTAGGCTTTTGCTGCTTTTGTCAAGAGTCAGTTGGTTGTAAATATGTGGATTTATTTCTGGGTTGTCTGTTCTCTCCACTGGTGCGTGTGCCTGTTTTTATGCCATTAGCATCCTATTTGGTTACTCTCACCCGCCACTGTGTGTCAGGTATTGTGACACTTCTGGCTTTGTACTCTTGTTCGGGATCACTCTGGCTACCCAGGGACTTTTGTGATTCCATGCACATTTCAGGAATGCTTTTTTCTATATTTGCAAAGAATGAGGTTGGTATTTTGGGAGGACTTGAATCAAGTCTGTCAATCATGTTGGATGGTATGGACATTTTAACAATAATGATTCTTCCAACCCATTAATGTGGGAATTCTTTCCTTTTTTGTTCCTTCTTCAGTTTTTTCACCAGTGTTTTATAATTTTCATTATAGAAAACATTTAGTTCCTTTGTTAAATTTGTTTCTATGTGTTTAATTTACTTATTTAAGCTATTGTGAATAGGAATGCTTTGGCACATGAATTTATTGACCTAAAATTCAGACAATCACCTAGCAAGAAGGAAGAGAAAAAAAAAATACTAACTCTGGAGAAGCAACTAAGTAAGAGGAGTTACTGGCAATACAATTTAGTTCTAATTTACTAAATGTTATTTTAGCCTCAAACACTTAATTTTGTTTAAAGGTAAATTAGTTTACCACGTAATTACCCACGGGGTGAACAGTCACCATTCCCACTGTCTTTCCAGTAACAACTATTGCTATTAAGGGGTCTTTTGCTTTTATTTTATTTTAAAACAATTTAATTAATACTTGTGAAAGGGTAAAGAAAGGTTTCAGAAGCTTCACATATCTTTGTAAGAGATAATGCCTTTTGTCATATAAAAAAGTATAATAATTTTTAGAAACAATCAAGGTAAAAAGTAGGTACAGATCATATCAATTTTGTGTAATACTAGTACCAAGAAAAATGTTAGCATCACTGGCCAAAATCTTTGTCTTACTTCCTCTCGTAATAATAGGAAAAAGAATACACTACAGGTACATCCTCATAGTATAAGTTACAGCATGGCTTAGTATACACCTGATTTTCCAAACTGTTATTCTTCTCGTGAGGTTGTGATTTCCTTTCTCTCCTCCCCCCTACAGTCTATATGAATCCATTGCAGGGGCCCTGAAATACCTTAAATTTTGGTCATTTATTTACCATCTGCATATGAGACTTATAAAGAATAGTGATTTCCTGATTCACTGACATGGGAAATGACCAGTGTTCAAGGCCCTCCTTCCCCATGGACATGGAGATGACCAGTGTTCAGGGCCCTCCTTCCCCTTGAACATGGGGTGACCAGTGTTCAGGGCCCTCCTTCCCCTTGAACATGGGGTGACCAGTGTGCTGGGTAGGCCCTTGGCACGCCAAAGTGAAGGGGCAAGGCCAGGCTAGGGGGCGGAGCCTCTATCTCCATGTTGCAAAGCATTTATTCCAGCTCAGCCATTCCATTTCTATGTGAACAAAGCTACCCTCTTTCCTTCAGCACGTGAACAGCGGCCTCACCCTCAGTGACCTGCCCCTGCACATGCTGAACAACATCCTGTACCGCTTCTCAGACGGGTGGGACATCGTCACTCTGGGCCAGGTGACACCCACCTTGTATGTGCTCAGTGAGGACAGGCAGCTGTGGAAGAAGCTGTGTCAGTACCACTTTGCCGAGCAGCAGGTAAGTGTGTTAGGCCATCTGGGTCCACTGTGCAATCAGAAGGCATCGAGATTGCTATGGTCTCTCGTCTGTCAGTTAGCCAGATTTATTTTCCATATTCAAAGAGAATATGATTCTGAAAATAGCCCAGAAACAAACAGTGTAGCCTGAGCCATGTTCTCTGTTCCACCTGTTGGTGACAGGATCTCCAGATTCCCCTGCATCTGCCTGTCACCAAGTTTTATGTCTTGGAGAAGACCTGCAACTATAGGAGTCTTGATTCTCTGTCCTCCCTCTTGAGTCCTGAGGAGCTTATGGACATGATGAGGTGCAGCCAGCAGACTCCAGTGTTCTTCTTCCACAGGAAAGCTCTGCTCTGGCTCTGCTGAGCCTTGCCCAGCGCACATGCAGAGTGCTAGACATGGGTCTGTGTGAGGAGTGGCGAGTGCCATGGGAACGCAGGATGGAACTGTGCACGCTCATGGGGCAGAGCAGCTCTCAGCAGAGCAGGCCTGGTGTGGGAGGGTATCGTGAGCTAAAGGGGCACTGGGCAGTGGCCAAGCCACCAGAAATCCTTGTTCAGTGTGCTCAGTGAAACCAGTATAGCATGTGGAATGTACCACAGCTTTCAAAGACCTCTGTTCTTGCTTAAACAGACTGGCATGGTACAGTGGACCCTTTACAGGATATCTTAGGAATAGAGGGTGGCAACCAGGGAAGACCTCAATGGCCTGGGGCAGGAGGGTACAGAAGGGACCTGGCAGAATCCCAAGAAGACACCAATCAGGAACCAGGGCAGGTGTAGGAGCGACCACCAGAGGACAGGGCTCAGGAACCTTTAAGAGGGCCTGCTGGGGAAAAGAATGAGTGTTTTCCTATTTGAACAGGAAGGTGGAATTCTAAGTCAGCATTGGAAATGGAGCTGCTGATTGAAGGGAAGCACACTTGGGGTGCCTATGTGTCATACACTCACCCTGAGACCTCCCACCCCTGGACACAGATGCTTGCAGGAAGAGGAGTGAGAGCTCCAGCCATGCCTCTGCTTAGCCTGGCCATGAACAGAAGTACTGGCCAGAGCACCAGACAAGCATTTAGACCTCCAGGCCTCAACCATGGTGAAGTCCCTGGAACTCCTTGAAGGACATTTTAATGGGGTTGTGTCTGTTCTACACCAGTACTTCATGTCCCATAAAAGGTTAGGTTATTTCTCAGTTAGCACCTAAGGCTCACCTTGTTTGTACTACATCTTTTCTTGACTGAATTATGGAAATACAGCATCCAAAAGCTAAGTATCTATTCTTCAGAGCCTGCTAAGTAACAATGGGACCCTTAAAAAAGATAAGCATGTTAAAAGCTCATTCCATGAAAATACCAAAGTTGGTAGGCATCCTTGTGAAGAGCAAATGGTGGGAAGAAGGAGCTGGACAGCATGGTCCTAAGTGGTGCTGGAAGGGCCCACTGACCAAGAAGGCTCAACTCAAGCCTTGGGGCAGGCAGGTGTGGGGCTTGAGTACAGAAAAATGGCAGGTGGCTTTCTAAGAGGAGGGCATCAGGAGGGTGGACACAGCATCAATGTGAAGGAGCTGAGAATGCAGAGCTGCTTTTGTCTCTAGGAGCTGATAGAGCTGGGCATCTAATGCTTCCCTTCACTTTTCATGCTTTTCCTCCGATTTTATTAGGAACAGGATTTCCTCGTGGACTCCGCTCTTAATTTCCAGGTCTTCAAAGCCACGACTCCCTCCCCCACCACATGAGGGTCTTCTACAAGTGACGGTTCTCAGTTATGAAAAGCAAAGCATGCTCATGGCAGTGGTAGTTCTAGATGAAGCACAAACAGCAATGCGTGATGGCCCGTCAGAGCCCAGTCACCCAGCTGCTGTCAGCCTTCACGATATTTGACAGCCGTCACTGCAGCTGATTTCAGGGTATTGCCATCACCTGAGAAGGAACCTCATTCTGTGGCTGTCGTCCCACCTTCCCCAGCCTAGGGCAGCCCGCATCTGCTTTCTCTCTGGAGATGTCCCTGTTTGATTTTTGGCTTGAGTGGAATATAGACTCTTTGTCTTCTCACGCCTGGCTCCTTTCCCTCATCACAGTGTCCTCTCAGCTCCACACGTGATGTTATGAACCGGACCTTCATTCCTTTCAAGGCTACGTAATATTCTACTCTAGATACACCACATCGTGTGTACCCTTCCTTCAGCTGGTGGACATCCAGTTTGCTTGCACCTTGTAGCTATCAGGAGCACTGCTACTGTGTATATGTCTCTGCAAGCCTGTGTGGGACATGTTCCCAGGACTGGAGCTGCTGGTCAGACCGTGGCCCATTTAACTTTTGGGGAACTGCCAGGCTTTCTACCCCTCAGTGCTGCGCAAAGTACCCAGCTCCTCAAACCCCCAGCACTGGCTCTGACTTTCTGTTCACAGCTGTCTGCATGGGTGAAGTGGTGTTGTGGTCCACTTCCCTGATGATGGGTGGTGGGAACCGCTTCCCGAGATCACTGCCCACCTCTGTCTTTTCTTTTTTTTTTTTTTGGTTTTTTTGGGGGGTTTTTTTGGTACCGGGGATCGAACTCGGGTCCTTGCACTTGCGCAGCAGGTGGCGAAACCACTGAGCTAAATCCCCGGCCCCACCTCTGTCTTTTCTTGGAGACATCTTTTCAATCCTGTAGCCCATTTCCATAGTGGGTTGTGTTATTTATATATTCTGCATATAAGTCTCTTGCCATATATGTGGCACAAGTTACGTCATTCCAGAGCCAAGTCTTTAGATCTGTCTCACAGCTGTTTGGTATCATACAAATACACTGTGATTTATTTAACTTGTCCTTTATTGACTTAATCCAAATAAGCTTGATTTCAAATAGGTAAATGTTTTATATACTATACTGCCTTTTAAAAATAGTTTTGCACCTAAGTTTTGAAAATCATCAGGGTCTGAACAGAACTTTGTTTCTTTAGTTTTGTAGACATTTGATCCTTTCAGAAAAAGGTCATATTGAATGGAAGTTGATGTACTTTACACTTCAGAAATATTATCCAACTAAAGAACAGTATGGAGATACCTTACATTTTTGTCGGCACTGCAGCATTCTTTTTTGGAAGGTAATAATTTAAAATGTACTCCTGAAACTTGAAGGTTGGAATTGGGTGAAACAAACCATTCACTTGTATTTTAAGTAGAAAGGTAAGAAAAAGTAGAAATATAGTTTGTGATGAGAAAGCTAATGGGATATATTTTACCATATGGAGGTGGGAACAGTGTCTGTAACATATGCACCTTGTGTCTTGAGTCAGCAGTGTTGAAAGCTGAAATGCAATCCATTTCTCCCCACAGGGACACTATCTCCCTCTCATGGACATTAGCATGTAGCAGGCACCAAGGGAGCAAGGAGGCCTGACACACAGCCCGTCTGCATCTGGCTGCAATTGGCCTCTTGTGTCCTGTCTTAAAGACAAGCCCACTGTCTAAAGAGGCTAGGATACACTTCAGTTCCCAAAGCAAGTACTTAGAGCAAGGGGGCCATAGAGATGCACAGGCTTCAAAATAAACCCATCCCCTTCTTATTTAGTCAATCAAAACTTGAAACTATCAGAATTTATCTGCAGGTAACAAGCTAGAAACATCAGCTTTAGCAGTTTCCATATCCAGAGAGTAAACAGGGAATCCTTCACCCCCTGGCTTCCTACTAGTTGTTTTAAATCCTGCTACCCACACTTTGTCTCTGATGACAACATGCTTTCCCTGGTCAGAAGTGGGCCCTGTAGACTGCTGCTTTGGTACAATGTATTTCCTTAGTGTGTTGACATTGTTTGTCGTTGGAATGCATTTACATGGTTTGCCTGGTGTTTGAATGTGTTTAATAGGAGATTTTACTGGGGAAAAACTTTAAAATGATTTAAAAAAAAAACAAAAGCAAAACTGGTACCTGGGGTGAGCAGCCAGCCTTGACCCCACTGACCCAGGCTGTCGTGGGGATGGACTCCTCTCAGCTGTCTCCAGGTAGACAAGGAATGGGGCTTCTGCATTTAGGGAAGTAAGGCTTTTGCTGGTAGACAGCATCACCTGCTTTGGTTTTTTTTGCTTTACATTTATCTAAATGCATTGTCAGGTCACAAAGTGAGCACTAGATATTGGAAAAGACGCAACTGCTTTTAAATTTTTTCATTCAAACTGTTTATGATAGAATAGCTTTTTTTTTTTTTACTATGATCCATGGCTGAGCCGAGAACCTAAAGGTGTTGAGATTTTCTTGTATTTTAATAGGGTTGGTTCTCTTTACTGTATCAGATGTAAGCAGCATTATGAACACTTGCTGATGCCTCCAGCAAGAATAATCGACAAGGTTTGCTACTTCTGAGTTTCTGTTTTATATCTTGGTGTGACTCCTTCTGTCAGAATCAAAAATGGCAGGATACTGTGTCTCAAAAGCAGGGACCGTCCTGGGCCTAGACTCGCCCTCAGCCTTGGGTGACATCGGCCACAAGGAGTGTCTTCTCTGTGGCCTCACCTGGCATTGGCACCTGACCTGGCCTGGCCTGGTCCTTCCAGGATCAGTGCACTGGCTTTTCTTCTGTCCTGTCACCACGGTGGATGACACCCTGTCACATTTCCTTTGAATTCATTGCTTCTCTTCTTTCGCCTGACTGGACTGTTTTATACTATGGAAATATTAAAGTTATGGACAGAAGGCTCTCAGTTTTATATGCTTGTATTTTTCCCAGATCAGTGCCTGATTGTATTGGAGCTCTCCTATTGGCTAATAGACACATATACTTTCTTTGTAGTGTCTGTGCTGTTAGGCAGTACAAGAACATGTTGCTTGTTTGCTGAAATATGTAAGATCTTTTTTTTATTATTAAACTGAGAGATGAGTTTTAGCTTTCCAAAAGAATTAGCCTATAAATTCCCATCTTGCTACACATAATCATGCTGTGGAAATTCATAATGAATCCTTCCTAGCAAAGAGGCATGCATTTCCAGCCTGGAGAGGAGTGATGACATGCTCTGCTATAGTGTGGTCCCAGGAACCCCTCAGCTCAGCTTCTCCCACTAGACATCCTTCCAGGGGACCAGTGACAGTCACATTTCTGCCTCGTAAAAAGGGAATGCCCTCTCCTGACTTAGTGCCAACGCCATCAGCACCCCCTGCCCAGGGCAGGCAGCTCCAAGTATCTCAGGTGTGGCCATGTGTAGACCACCAGCCCACCCATCCCGGAACAGATGTGTGCTGCCCAGGAAATGGTGCCTGTTGTTTTGTCATTTCTTCAGCATGTGAACTGAGACACTGAAGTCATCTCAGACCTGTTAAGGACAGGCAGGCAACTAACCCTTAATGGTCTCGGCCTAGATTGAGAGCCACCTCCACATGTTGGACATGGGGCCATTCTCCATGCCCTGCCCTGACCCCTGCAGAGGCCCCTCATCTGGCTCCAAGTGGGATTTTTATCTGTTATGAATCCACTGTTTTGAAGAGTTATGCTTATGACTTTTCTCCTTGCCTTTATGACCCACCTCAGTGGCCACCACCAGGTCACTGGGTGCTGAGAAGGGCAGAGTTAACGTGTGAGTGTTTCTATACCTGCCCCTCCCTGTTCCCCCAAGTGCACAGAACCCCAGCCAGACACTGTAGACTTGCAGGGCTCAGGAAGCCAGGATGAGGATTCAGCATTTGTGTCACTTTCTTTTCTCAGCATATGATTTGCCAAAAGTAAGGGCTGAGCACCCAGCAAGGACCTTGCCAAGCCCATGTGGCTGCCAGGAGCAAAGTTGTGGCTGGAAGCCCAGACCCCACCCAGTCAGTCCCTGGTCTCTGGGGAGCCGTCTCCACATAAGCAGGAGTGGGGTCGGGAGACCCTTGCCATTCTCCCTGAGGAGCAGTGTCAGGGACAGGCAGAGGCTCGACCGCAGGGCACTGGCAGATTGTCTGAACAACTGCTACACTGTTTGCAGTGCAGTCGACATGGAAAGGTCAGCACTTCCTCTCATTTTGTCCATGAACACTTCTGAAGGTTTTTCGGCACTGGCCCCATGACTTGTCTGTTTGAGATACTGAAAGGAAATGGGATTTTCTCCTTGTCCCAAAACAGGGTGTCTGATGGTGCCTTCTCTTACTTTGCATATTTTGTATTGTCCAAATTTAGTTACCTGATGCTTTTAGTTACTTTCATGAAGAATGTGCATCAAACCTAAATGCTAACTACTTCCTGCTCTTTCTAACCTGATTTCTCCTTTCCTTCCTTTGCTGTACTTCTTGCTGGTTCTTTTCTGCGCCATCTCAGGACTACCACCTTGCGTGGTTATTCAAGGTACTTCGGTGTTCTGTGCACACAGTTGTATCGCATGCCCCTCTGTCCTGGCTGGAGACTCACTAAAACTGTAGACCTGTCTGTCCCTAAAAGCTCACTCACAGGACATACCCAGCTCAGGGTAGTCCCCAAGGGCTGAGAACAGCCCTACCTGGCCTCTGGGGATGGTGACCGATACGGTTTTTTTAAAATGTTTTTGTTTTTTTGTTTTCCTGGTTCCTCAGCTCAAGTAATGCCAGACCCCTCACCCCTGCTGTGGGCAGTGGTCTGGGTCTGATCAGCCCTGTGTGGCAGGAGCTCAGGTGAGCAGAGGCCACTGTGGCCAGAGCAGCCAGGCTGGTTACAGAAGGATCAGGATGAGGGGCAGGCCAGGGGGCAGAGGGATGGCAGTCGCCTGCACCTGAATAGGAATCCCCAACTCCACTGAGACTGTGCTGGGGTCACTGTGTTCTAGTGATTCTCACTGTTGAGGTGGGGCTGGGCTCCCTTGGCCAAACGCTGTGACTTCTCTCTGGATGTGACAATGTCTCCTGATCCATCTTCTCCTCCCCACAGGACTCAGGACACCCTTGCACTGCAGCTGACCCAGACAGCTGCTTCACGCCTGTGTCTCCACAACACTTCATTGATCTTTTCAAGTTTTAAAGGCAGTCCTCACCACTGTCCTTGTTGGACACTACACACTGTGCTTTCTGTGTGGTAGCTGGTAGGAGATGTTTCCTGTGACCAAACGCTGCCTCGGAGTCTGAGGGCCTCACTTCCTGAAGGAACATGAGAAACTGCCCTCATCCGCCCCGTAGTGGGAAGGCATTGTTGGACATTGCTGGACATTGCTGTCTCTGAAGGAGTCAGGAGACCCAAGCAAATCATTTCTATTTCTTTCTTTAAATCTTCTCTTCTTCTAAGCACATTAAAATTTGCAATTTTGTATATTTACAAATACAGATCAAAAAAGCTTTTGGATTTTCAGCCCTACATTCTGTGTTGAACTGACACAACCAACCAAGACTATGCTTCATAGTTGCTAAATTACAGTTTTCAATCTTATAGTAACCGAGGTACAAGATAGAACGATTGATCCTTGTAAATACATTGTACAGAATATTTATTTTTCTTAAAACGTGATTTCACACCTGCAGTGGCTGTACCCATATAAGTCCTCCTTGGTGACTAGGGCGAACCTAGGGAGACACTGGGTGTTTTCATCTTGGTATTAACTCCCTGGGCTGTGAACTGTGCCAACTCTCTGTAGCCGACAACTGTTGGTCTCTGTTCCTGGGCACCCCTGCGGCCAGGCCCAAACCCCAGATGGAGCCTCTGCTGAGGGAGGGTACGGCAGCCCAATGAGGCCTGCGCTGAGCTTGGGTAGAGGGCGCGGCTAGAGACAAGTGACAAACATCCGTCTGTTGATCCCGCTTTGTATGTCTTGCATCTTGCTGAGAGAAGTGGTGTTGGTGGTTTTGATATCATTTAAGCCTTCAAAAGACTGTCTTATTTTTTAAATAATGCATGTCCATTTTAGAAAGTCTTGAAAATAAAGGTATACCAAAAAGAATTTAAATCACCCATAATTTCACCATGTAAAGATAACTTGTACTTGCTCAAAATACGAGAAAGTGCCCCTCAGCATTTGTACTGTAAATATGTTTCATGGTATACTTCATCTTTGAATGGGTTGGGTTTCCTGACAGATCATTTAAAACCTTTCTTCTAAACATACTAAAATTTGTAAGTCTGTCAGTTTGTAAATGTAAATCAAAAAAGATTTTGGATTTGCATCCCCATCTTTTGTACTAACAGACACAAATACTAAGAATTACACCTTCGCTCAGATGCAGCACAGACAGCAGGGCCTCTGTGTGAATCCTGGAGTAAGTTCTTCAGATACCATCAACATCCTGTCTGCTGATTTATGACCAGGATCATCTTCCTGCATCTTACACATGACTGAAAACACGGCTTCATTGGCTGCAGCTCACGGGATGGCGGAGCCACATCTGATACGTTACGAGTATTGGTGACTGAGTGGGACCATTGCACACCCGCTCTCATGGCACCATAGTGATAGGTCACATCTGTCACGGCTTTCAGTGTGTTTCTAGGTCAGCAGCCTTTCAGAAAGGGAGAATATTACATGTCCATTTTTCTTGCAATATGGATACATGTTTCATGGTATACTTCATCTTTGAATGGGTTGGGTTTCCTGACATCATTTAAAACCTTTCTTCTAAACATTTTCAAATTTATAAGTCTGCCTGTTTGTAAATGTGGATCAAAAAAGATTCTGGATTTGTGTCCCCACCTTTTATACTGAACATGTGTACCGCTTATTGGTGCTGTTTTAACAGCTGAAAGCTTGGGTGTATGGTTCGTTTACCCCAAGATGGGGCATTTCCTCTGTATTTATTTATTGTAAGGTGAGACATTTCGTTTGTGTATTCATTGGCTACTTGTTTTCTGTGTGCTCTTTGCCTGCTCTCTTCTGGTGTCTTGTCTCTTTCATATCAATTGCTTCTTAAAAGGATATTAACCTCTTCAAGTTACAGTTCTTTTCACCAATGGGTTATAACCTTTTAACTGTTATGATGCTGTTTGTGCTTTGGAGTCACACATATCCACATGTAACTTGTATAAATTGAACAATTCCTCTCTGATAAAAGTAACCACACTCAACACCTTTAGGCATCAGGGAAAACACATTTAGCTGTTAGGGAAACACAAATCAAAACTACATTAAGATTCCATCTCATGGCTGTGATCAAGAATACAAAGAACAGCAAATGCTGGCTAGGGTGCAGGGAGAAAGGAGCTCTTCTGTGCTGCTAGTGGGAATGTAAGTACAGTCACTGTGGAAATCAGTGGGGAGGCGCTGCAGAAAACTGAAAATAGGGCTGCAAGTGACCCAGCTGTACCCTCATTGGAATATCCGTGAAGGAATTAAAATCACCACATTATGGGGATACCTGCATACCCATATTTATTGCAGCACAATTCACAGTGGCCAAGACGTGGGGCCAGCCCAGGTGCCCACTGAATGGGTCAAGAAAATATGGTATGTCTACACCATGGAGTATTGTTCAGCGGTGAAGAATGAAATTATGTCTTTTTGCAGGAAAATGAAATGGGAGATTGCCCTGTTAAAATAAGCCAAGTACTACATTTTTTCTAATACGTGGAAATCTTAAGAAAAAGAAAAAAAAGCCATACTGAGAGTGTAGGGAGGACCCAGCCACTCCTCTCCTGCACACATGGAGCTGGGGAGTGACCCCTACCTGCAATGTGTGTTAGTGCAGCCCCACAGGAGAGCAGAGGACATGGAGCAGGGCAAGACTTGTTCTTGTCACCAGCAGGAGGCTGCAGAGTCAGAGGACAAAGACAAGGGTAAGGAGAGCAGTGCTGAGGTGTGGTCACTTACAGATGCATTTGAAGGGTACTTGAGAACACAGGTTCTGTTAGAGGGCCTCAGAAAGGACGCCCCACCTTCACTGGATAGACTTCTGCAGTGAAGCGGGCTTTCAGGGCCCCAAGAGCCCATGGCCAGAAGGGAGCACTTACAGCTGCCCAACCAGGCCCAGAGCACTGATGTCTGTTGACAGCCAGTTGCAACTTCCCTTTGTCAATTTTAAGATTGAGAAAGATTCATTTCTCACCTAATTTATAAATACATGTGAGCCAAAAAGGGCCAGGTGTCTGCCTCTCTACACCAGGGCAGGGTGAGCTTCGCAACAGCCTGCTGTCTGCCTTCTGTGTACAGATTGTTCAGGCCTTACACAGAAACTGGTCTGCTTCACAGCCGTGTTTAAGGGCCCAACTATGCATAATTTTTGCCTAAAATGTTTTTAGAATCAAATTTATATAAGCTTAGGGTATTTTGATCTTGTATCCCACAACCTTGCTGAAATATTTTTGTAGAATCCTTAGGATTTGCTATATACTAAATCATGTCATCTGCAAATAGACATGGTTTTACTTACTGCTGTCCAACTAGATGCCTTTTTTTTCCTCTTTGTTTTGTGATAGTTTTTGGTATTTTGAGACAGGGTCTCTCCATCTAGTTTGGGCTGGCCTTGAACTCAGAACATAGCCCAGGCTGGCCTCAAACTCCAGGAAATCCTCCTGCCTCAGCCTCCCAATCGCTGGAATTACAGATCTGTGCCACCACATCCGGATCTTTCGCTTACCTAACTGCTGGCCAGAACCTCCTGCACTGTGCTGAGTAGCCATAGCAAAAACCGGCTCCTTGTCTTCCTGATCTTAAGACAGTGTGAGGGGGCTCGGCCTGACACCAGCCTGGCCAGCACCTTAGCATCCCTGTGTCCCCAGTGGCCTCAGCTGACCTGTGTCTGCTGAAACAGAACTGTGCACCCAAGCAGGCTCCGCCTCATCTCCCTACCCTGTCTGCACAGAGGAAGAGGCCCCCCTGCTTTGGACAGGTATTCTGCTGGCCCTATCCTGCTCCTGTCTGTTTTTCTAGTTCTTTAAGGTGTAAATGTAAGCGGTTGATTTGAGATCATCTATTTCAGATTTCCTTTTACCTCCCCTTTTGCTGCATCCCGTAAGATTTTGTGTATTTTTATTTTAACTTGTCTCTAGATATATTTTAATGTCCCTTGTTTCTTTGATCCATTGGTTAAGAGTGTGCTTAATTTCCAGATTGCGGACTTTTTACTTTTCCTTCTGCTATTGATTTCTAGTTTCACCCCATTATGTCCAGAATACATTTCATTATTTCAATTTTTTGAGAAGAAGTGAGACTTGTTTTGTGGTCTAACATGCTGTCTATGTGGGAGACTCCATGTGCACCTGGATAGTGTGGGCTCACTGCTAGTGGTGCACTGTATGGGGGTCACAGCCCCTTCCTGACCTGGGTGCCCACTGCTGAGGGGGACGCTGGGGTCCCCTCATATCAGGCTTCCCTACCCTTCGACCCTGTCTCCATCTCCCTTGTTGCACCTTGTAAGCTCTGGTGCTTAGTATGTGTCTACTTGTTATATCTTCTTGGTGAGTTTTCAGTGTTTTTAATTTAAACAACAAGGATGAAGTTACAGATGTCTGGGATTTACTTCAGCATAATTCAAATAAGACAGGTCAGGAGTTGACCACGGCTGGAAGTACAGGTATGCACACCGTGTATGGGATCCACACACTTGTTCTGCAGAAGGGTAGACAGTATTTGCAGACCCACAGTGCAGCCACAGGCTGTCCATGCACAGGAGCCACTCAGCTGCATTCCCAGCTAACCGGATGCTGAAATGTGAACTTCATGTTCTTTTATAGTCCCTCACAATTTTAAAATGTAAAACTGTTCTGGGCTTTGCAAAAAAAAGTCACAGGCCAAACCTGGCCCACAAGTTGTAGTCTGCCAGCTCTCCTTGTCCTTATCTCTTCTTTGGTATATGTTTGTCATTTTCATTTAAAATCTTGCATGATTTTAAAGTACTTTTGTAATTGTTACATTTTTACTGCAAAACTAGTGTATTCTCTTTGTAAAAAGTTTTCCTAAGGGCCAAAACAAAAAAAAAAAACTAAGAATATTACTCATAATTGCACATCAGGATAATTACTCATAATTGATAACAGCTTTCACGTGTTTTATATGGCTTTTGAAGATTCATAATGTATTCCCAAGTGAGAGAAGCAGTACACACTGGGACATACCACCCTCCTCCTGCACAGACCCAGAGCTTCGGGCATTGTGTGTATCTCCCAAAGGGAGAGGCCATGTGACCACCTGTCTGGATCCCAGAGAAACACATTTTCATGTGCATCTGCAGGGGTCTTTGCAGATTGTTTACTGAAAAAAAGTTACCATCTCAACTTATAGCACCATTGGAAACCCTAGACTCTAAACGTGAAAGAAAAGAGTCATTTCTCAAAAAGAAGATGAAAATAAAGCAAATGCTATCTCATATCACATCTACCTCATCAGATTGTTTTCTTGAAAATACCGTTAAATGATCTAAACTTTGTAATTTTTTTTAAATCATAAAAGTATTTCCCTAAAACACCCAACGTTAGTTGTGTCTTAGTATGAAGGTTGTTAAATAGAAGTAATTACATAGGGACCAATATCATCACTTGTTTTGAAAGCAAAAATTCTACCCAAACTTTGTCACTAAGTGAAAATCTTATTTGCACCTCTGGAAATTCATGTGGAGACATTAATTTCTGAAAATACCAATCCCTCTAACTTGATAGCCTCCCAGAAGGGAGGATACAGTCACAGTGTGGGAGAGACATCTCATCCCATGGGGTTTCAGCAGCAGCAGCAGGCCATGGTGGCACCTGGAGTGGATAGTATAGCTCACAACCCAGGCGCAGTGGACGGCAGAGCATGGCCACAGGCCTTCACAAAGAAGGTGACTGGATGCCAGGGATTTAGCTCAGTGGTTCCGCCACCACCTGCCTCACAAGCGCAAGGTCCCGAGTTTGATCCCCAGTACGAAAAAAAAAAAAAGATAAGCACAGAAAGGGCCAAGACAAAGTTAGATTCCTAGGGCCACCCAGGAGCCCCCAGTCAGAAGGCTCCATCTGCCTTCACCTCTGCATGCCAGCCCTCACCCTGCTTTCCCACTGAGCATGCCTCTGTGTCCAGAGCCTGTGCTCTGCTGACGCCAGGCCCTGCCTATGTGCCGCGGTGGCCATTCTCCTCCCCACCCTTCCCCTTGCCTCTGCCTAGACCCAAGAACAAATGCTGTTGGAAACTGCTAGGGGCTCAGTATCCACATCATAGATTTCCCTCAGCAAACTCAAGGTACATTAGGGAGCACTAGCTTTTTTTTTTTTTTTTTTTAAGTAAAGCCAATCCACAGGTTGGCTCTGAACTCCGTAGCTCAGGCCAGCTGCATGCCTGTAGCTCAGGCTCACAGCCACCATGTGTGGATGGGATCTGGTTCTGAGCTGTTCTTGCCTACCTGTCCTTGCCCAGGAATTGGAGGGGAAGGTGCCCGCTGGGTCCCTGAAGTAGTGGTGGCGAACCTATGGCACAGGCACCACAGACAGTTGTTTGCTATCACTGCAAGCTCTAAAAGGTTCACCATCACTGCCCTAGAGCGTGGACCCACAGTGCCTCAGCTCTCCAGGTACTCTGGTCTCAAAGTGGTAACGATGGTTCTCATTCTTGCTGGGGTTTTTAAAACTCATGTTCACCACAAAATCCTTAAGTCGGGAGGGAAATGAAGTGATCTCCCTGGATCGACCCAGAGGTGGTGCAGCCAGCATCAGCCCAGGGAGACAGGAGAGGATCAGGCAGCAGGGGACCCAACCCAAGAGCTGCCCAGGATAAGTTTTAACTCGAATTTAACCAAGTTGTTTTTTCCTAACTTGTAACTTGTAGGAAATACGTAGGATGGAAGGATTACTAAACACTACAAAGAAACAGTAGTGGATTCTGGAAAGACAAGGATGCAGGCTTTTCAATTTTAAAAGGATTTTGGAGATCTTGGTACCTGGTTTAGGGGGGAAACACCATAAAAGCAGCAAAAAGACCTTTTCCAGGCAACTGGGGAACTTAAATATGGCTGTTGGATGAATCAGAAGCTATGTAGGAGCAACCCTGTCATACAGAACGGCACATACACAGGTGTCTGGTCTCAGGCTGCCCTCAAGCAGCATCTGTGCACTCAAACACAAGAAAGCACTTGCTGACTTGCGATGGTTTCAGAGTGTCCTGTATGCTTTGGCAGGTTTTATTTTTGTAATAAACTTCTAAAAATGAAAGTCTCCTCTGCAAAGCCAAAATAAGCCAAATTGAAATATGCTAATTAGTATGGTAATAACTGCCTCTTGGAGCTTTACTTATAATTTTTTCCTCTTACCCTCTGACCTCCAAAATCTCTTGAAGGTTGAGAATGCAGTCGGCTTGAAGGGTTGAAAAAGCAAAACCTCCCATCTGCCCCCTCCAGCCCAAAGCCCATTCTGAGCATTCCTAAGGCACACCTGGCTTGCTGGGAGGGGGAACTCCTCCCTGAGCAGTTACCTGGATGTGAACCCCTACGTGAACCCAAGTCTGCAGAGCTCTTCCAGACTCTGAGGAAGGGCGAGCGGGAAGGGCTAAGCAGAGACCCATGAACAGGATCTGGGTCTCAGAATGAAATTAAGCCCAAGCAGCTTATAGATTCTAAAAGATCCTGGTACAAGCCCATTTTTAAAAACATCTGCATAAGGCTGGCTAATTTAGGGTATCTTGTAATTCACATTTAGAGGAACTTTGTAAGCTCTGGTTATTTTGCATAGCAAGCCACAGACCAAACTCCAGAAGGAACCTTGTCCCCACTACTCTGTAATCCCCTGGTTTTCCCACTCAGCCCCAGACTCAGCTCCCATTCCCCTCCTGTCAAGATCATGCTCCATTCAGACAGCAAAATGGCAGATTTGCTTGAGGAAAACGTCTGCCCCAAGACAAAGCCCTGAGCACTGGCCTTGGTCACGAGGGAGCTATGCCAGTCCACACCACAGGTGGCGGCAGGCCCAGGCCCTGCCGAGTCGCAAACAGTCCGGGCACCTTTAAGAACACATGTAAGAGGTGTTTGGAAGTGCACAGCTTTCCCTGCCCACACCTGAGTCCCCACCTGACTGCCTCCAGATGCAGTTTATTTCCTGTCCACACTGACCATCCCCAGGTGCTCACCAGTCAGATTCTCCCAGCTCTGACTCTCCATAAAGTAGCATGGCAGATCCAGCCCCTAGAGCAGCCCCTCACCTGACTGTTGGGGGTGCCGGTGAGCGGGCCCCTGGCGCAGCTGTGAAGATGACAGAGGGATAAAGGATGAGTATGATGTGCGGCACCAGAGCGAGGGGCTCCCATCAGGGTGGCAGATGTGCTGGCTATGACCCTCATCATTTTGTCTAAACATCAAGTTTTTTAGAAAGTAATTTAATTGGTACATTTTAGGTATATAATATGATGATATGCATCATTGGAAATTTGTACCTTTACATAATATATCTTGATTCTTATTTTTACATCAAGTTATTTTTAAGTGGTCTTGCAACAACTACTTAAAATTTTTGTTTTGTTCAGCTCATTTCTGTTTTCTTTTTGTTTTTTTGCCCCAGTACAATTTTTGGCAGAAAGTCTTGCTGAGTCCTCAAACACAGCTGGCTGTTTGAGCTGGGTTTTCTACTTCAAGGAAGTGAATCAGCCTTCAAAAAACAGGCTGATTTTGTCTGGCTCATCAATCCCCACTCCCTCATCATTCCACTGTGCCAGGTCGTTTTCTAAACTTAAAATCAGTCAATAGCCCTGATGCCCCCTGGCCAGCAGAGGGAAGGGGACGACCAGAGAGTCCCAAACTCCATAAGGCTTTCCACCAGTGAGAAGCCCAAACACTAGCCTAGGTCATATTCCCAAAGTCCATGCAGTGACGGGCTGACCCGGAAGTTGGGTCCACATAGCCTAGCTGAGAGACACCTGGGCCCAAAGTGGGCACCACTTGTAGTTCAGTCTCTTTATGATCTGGGTAGATGACCAGGATCACCTGTGGTCTCACTCAACAGGAATCAGCAAGAGGACGCACAAGTGAAGAGGGGAGGCTGGGGCCATGACTTTTACCCTTCATACTCCACTGGGGCCACCTGCAACCAGCCCTCCTACCCTCTGGTTACTTCATTTCCTTATGGGGGGAGAGTGGGCTTGCTCAAAATACTAAAAGGCACATTTTCTAAACACATAGCACTTCATCATTATGCTCTCTTCCAACTTTTTTTTTTTTTTGGAGACAGTCTTGTATAGTTCAGGCTAGCCTTGAACTCTGTCTTAGTTACTTTCTGATTGCTGGGACAAAATACCTAACACCTGCAGTTAAAGGAGGAAAGGTTTGCTTTAACTCACAATTTGTAGAGATTTCGGTCCACAGTCAGCTGGCTCCAAGGCACACCAGGATGGAAGAGGAGAAACAGTCCATGGCAGAGTAGGCAAGAAGGCAGCAAAGTAATCCTCCTTCTCTTTTGTATACCATCCAGTCTACAAGCCTTTTGAGTGGTCCCACCTACATACAGGGTGGGCTTTCCCATTATCCACACCCAGAACTATGCTAAACCAATCCATTGACTAATTTAGTACCACGCACCCTTAATCTCAGTATCACACCCTAGATCCAGCCAGCTCCAAAAAGCCCTATCAGAGCATGAGGCTTTTGGGGGAGGGGGGCATCTAGATACAAGCCATAACAAATTCAGTGATCCAACGGCTTCAGGCTCCCATGTGCTAGGATTACAGGTGTGTACCACCATGCCCAGCAATCTTTCGACTTTTTAATGTATTCCAGAAAGACTGAAAAATATAGCTAAAAGTCATCCCATACATAATCCCTTCATCTTAACATATATTAGCCACATGGCCTGCTATGTTTCTTGGTCCTTGTGGGTTTGAAAACACTGGTGGTAGGGTGTGTCTCCTCTGGTAAAGACATCACCAAGATAATGGATTCTCCATCAAAGGTCACCAGACTCCAGTACAGTAAGCTACATTGGACTAGCTTACATTTTAAAAAATAGATTGCCAAGAAAATCAAGTGGCTATTATAAATATTATATTTTGTTACATCTCATGTTCTTAGGAATCATAGCACAGTGTCCAGCAAGGACACAGCCAACTAAGAAGCACATTAAGAATGGACACAGGCAAGACACGGGCAACACCAGACTGTTACTGTGCACATGCTTAAGGTCCAGCTTTGAGGGAACAGCCCCCACAGGGAGAGAGCCACAGAAAATTGTTATAGACTCCAGAGGCCAGCTTCCTCCTGAACCTCTGGTCTTCATGACTTACGGCTGTGTTCCAAGTCAGCCTCCACACCAGCCCCATGGGAGGCAGAGATCAGGATCACCTGCCTTGTCTGCACACCGGCACCTGCAGACTCTTCATTATCCAGGCAAAGGCTGATGAGCACTGACTGCACTGTCTGCTGGATCCCAGGGGCTCCCGCCCTTAGCTTTTCATACCTGAGCTCTTGGAGCTTGGCTGAAGATGAGGAGATCTAGGAGGAGTCAGGGTTTCATGGCTCCCCAGCCTTCAGTTCTCTGCCCACTTTCTACACAAGGGACTGGGCTGAGGCCCTCCGTGCCATAGCTCTGCTCCCTCTGTTCCCTAACAAAGCAAGTCTTCTTGTGGTAGAAATTTGATACTTAGCAACAATTGGCAAAAGCTGTGTCACCACTTTCCTGCTCTTAGGAAATTGTAAGTTTTCCTTTCGATGAGATTCTTCCTTCTCTGCAGCTGTCAGGACTTACGTGCTTGAGTGCAGCTCACATGGCCAAGACCAACACCAGGGCAAGAAGGTGCCTCCCACCCTGGGAGGGCTCATGACACCCAGATGCTGATGTCAGAGGCCCCAGGCAGCAAGACAAGAGCTGTGCGCACTTTGACAATCACCCAACGGAAAGTGTGTATGGCCATTCTCATCTTTGGAAGAACTAGAAAATGATAGAAAAATCACTTACCTGAATGAACTGAGCATAACTTCATCCCACCCAACCCTTGCTGCAGTGTCTGGGCTCCATGAGCAGAGACAGCAGTCTTGCAGCACCAGGAGGAGCCACACACTACAGCTCAAATGTGCCTGGCAGCTGTGCCAACTCCCGTGCTGCACTTGCTGAAGTCTCTTGTAACCTCACAGGAGAGTGAGCTCTCAGGTGGGTCTCTGGCTCCCATTAAACAACCTTGGGACTGTTTCAGATGTTTTAAACAGCTGTTGTACATTTGCAAAGTCGTCATCCCATTTCTCTTCAGGCCCTGTGCAGGTGTGCCCATTGCCTGGGTCGTGGGGTATCAAATGATGACCCGAACAGCCAGACTGAGCAAACAGTTAAAGCACACAGAGAAGGTGAGGATGGACACAGAGGCCAGCCCTCAGGCAACCAGAAAACAACAGGAGCTCCTGAGGAGCTCGAAAGGGGAGTACCACCAGACCACAGAGAAGGTGAGGGGGGCAGCGGCTAGACGGCCAGGAGCCAGGAGGAAGAGCCAGGGGAAACCCTACTTCTAGGGACACCAAGCTAAGGTCATCTAGTGTGGCTCTGCACCTCCCACCAGGACGTCTACACCTGCAGATAGGCAGAGGTCACGGGCCACACCTGGGCATCAAGTTCCTACAGGAGCTGGTCAGTAAGAGGCTTCTGCCTCCCAAGGACTCATCTTTTCAAGAGATGAATAAAAAACAATTAAGTAAAAATGTACCACGGCCGGGACGTTCCTGTTTCTCAACTAGATGTGGAAGGCAGAAACTTGCTTAAGGAGCTGAGAGGCTCACCTAGCTACGGTGCTAACCCCAGCAGCAGTGCGCTGGGCACAGGTGGACAAGGCAGCAGGTGCTGTCACCCTTACAGCTCCACCAGCAGCTCAGATATGCAAAGACATCTGGATGATGCAAAGTGTAACCATTTATTTATGAAAACATTCATATATAGTCTGCACCTTAAAATGAGGTTTACATGGTCAGGAAAATGCCATTAGCATTAAGTGATCGAGTAGAGTTTCCGTAAGGGGATGATAATAATCATGCACACTACCAAGGGAAGAAGACAAACAGTACTTTTATTTTTAAAAATCGCAGCATTAAGGTGGAACCTTCCCTCCCTGAAGTCAGTCACATTCTGTTAGAAACCACAGAACACTGCAGGGCACAGATGGCCAGGCCTGCACGTCCTCACCATTTCCCAGAGTCACAGCCCTCTCTGCTCTCTGGCCCAGTCTGCTCACTGTGTAAACACCAGATTCACTTTGATAAGTCCTTTCAAGAAGCATTTCCCCCTAAAGCACACCAATAAATATTTACACTAAAAACCAGATATAATAGAAGAAAAATAATTTTTTCACTAATCTTTGTAGATAAATTCATTTCACAGTGCATATGCCAATATCAGTCTGTCTCAGTCTTCATCTATGAGGAAGGACAGCATGGAGGCCCCTAGCATGTGCAGCAGAATGTCAGTGAGGCACTGCAGGCACTTAGTGTTCCATCAGAGGCATAGCCATGGCAGCCGGCTGGATGACTGCCAGAGTCTCAAGTGCAGCTCTTACATCCATCCTTACACACCCAAAAAGAAGCGCACACTAGCTACTGCCATAAAATACTTGCACGGGTCCTGGCATGCTGCAGGTCTATGCCATCCCAGCAGTGTTTCTCTGGGGACATGGAGGGTCACAGCCATCCATCCAACTATGTACCTGAGGATACTAACAATTTCCCAACTCAGCTTACTGTACTAAAAATTATAACTTTTCTCTGTTATTAAACAAAATTTTCACCATTTCAAAGTTCTAACAAATTTTTATTTGAATGCCACTTAAAGCATGACCCCCTTTCAAGGCTTGGGTAAGTAAACTTCTTTTTCTATTTTAAAAACGTAGATGGACGGATGGATGGACAGATGGATGGATGGGTAGAAGGATAGATGGATAGCCAGCTATAGAAGGCAGATGGACAGACTGATCAAGTAAACTTGTCTAAGAGTACAAATAAGCACTCTGACATACTGCACTGTGCTCGGCCATCAGGCTCATTCAGTTATTCCACAGAAGCATCAGATAGAACATCCACATAAATAAAACAGCACTGAAATGCTCAAGGATGGGCATTCCTTTTGCTGTTTTTGTGTTGTTTTGTTTTTCCCAGGAAGGGAATATACAGTGTACCTGGAGGCTTTTGTTTTTAAGTAAAAATATACTTCTTCTATCAAACCTCTTTTTCCTAAGGTAGATATCTGCACCACCTGCTGCTAAGAGCCACCCTGCCAGACACAATCAGTGCCGCTGACACACAGGGCCACAGAGGACCCAGCAGCAGGTCTACAGAGACAGGCAGAGCGTGACGCTGTCCAATCAGCCCCAAGCTATCTGTGAACACTTCCTAGAAATCTGACATCAATCACAATAAGTATCTCATTTCAAAAAACTAAACACCTAGGAAGAAAAGAGGCACTTCAGTGTATAGTTTCAACCCTATACTCAACAAGTTAACATTTTCCAAACAAAATTATTAAGTGACTAAAATTCATCTTCACTTTATAACATTTCTTTAATCTTTGAACCCCAAATGCAAATTTTTGAAGGAAATGAAGATGAGTATTTAGAAGTTCAGGGGAAATAATAAAATCCAGAAGAAGCAAGGTTACCATCAAGTGCACCTGGAAGACTGCTCCTCCATCAGCAGTGGTGGACGCCCCTGTGAGGAGCCATTTGACCCTCAAACATAACCTCTGCTTTTCCAGTATTTAATCTGTTACATTTCCTTTTAATTTAGTAGGAAAAAAGTTTAACTTTCAAGTTAACCAGAATATAAAATAACCCTTGAAAGATTCATTTTGCCTCCAGTGGCAGAAGAGGATGGCACACCTGCCACAGGGTGTGACAGACGGCCATGGGTCAAGTGCAAGGGAGAATGCAGAGGTCCCAAAACAGAACTACAGCTGGGGGTAGCATGGGAATACTCTGTGGCCAACTGTAGGTCATTGTGGGACATCAAAAATTCGCATGTCCAGTTTCAGCAAACATGGACTGCAGTGGGTGGACATTCTGCTTAAGGCAACCAAATGCAGACCTGTATGTGTTCACCCGGGACCCTCAGTGCATTAGGGCATCAGATGGGAAATGCAGGCACTGGGTTCCTACTGTAACACTGGAAGCTTTGACAACTGAATGGGGTGCACAGGACGCCACCAGGCCAAGCAAACCCAAAAGCTTATGCAGTGGTGCGAGGTCTGCACACACTTGGCACCACAGCTTGCCTGCTCACTCCACATCCTCCTGGCTGTCTGTCAAGTGACCCTTGCTCTGCCGCCGGATGCTGACCAGCTTCCCCGCTGACCGAAGGCTCCAGCGGGAGCTGGCTGCTGAGCTGGACAGGCTGGTGTACTTGCTGGAACCCTTTGCATCACCCTCCCAGCCTGACCAGCGCTGGCAGTCACTGGAGGCGTCCTCTGAATCAGCCGCCATGTCTTCGAAAGCAAGCCTTGGAGGTTCCCAACCTTCAATCTCATCTGGTTTCTTAGACTGTGTGTTTTGTTTTAAAACCAAATTGTCCCAAAATCCAGATTTCTTCTCTGACTTCAAGTCTTCTTTTAATCGTAAGTTAGTGCTGTAGGAGATGAGAGAGTTAAATGTTGTTGATCCAATGATGTTATAAATGTGTCAATTTTATAAAGCTCTCTTCTAAAACCATTCAGTTACTTAAAAAGCTAAAATAGAGCTATGTGCAAACATTTAAATAAGTATTAAAATTTAATAAGGAAAAATTAGTCACTACCCATTATTAATGAAGCTTGTATAAGCCATACTTTGGGATACTTCTTGGCATAAGCAAAGGCTCAATTCTCAGACACAAGATCTGAAGATGTTATTAAGGCTTTAGGTTCAATCCCCAGTACCACCTCCCCTTTAAAAAAAAAAAAAGCTAAAAAATATAACTGTTCAAGCCAGGGACAATGACAAATGCTTATAATCTCAGCACTCAGGAGACTAGGTGTGAGGATTGTGGGTTGAGGGAGGACCTTTCAAGGCCATATGAAGGGAGTGCTCAGGCATCTGAGCAAATCATACAAGAAATCCAGGGTTGAGATTAGGAAAGAAGGGGTAGATTCCATTTAGCAGGTAGGTTTTCAATAGGACTACTCATAGCAACCTAGTCTCAAGCATTAGTATGTACATAAAAACAATTCAGAAAGCATGTGTTTCCTGCCCAGGGCCATCCCAGAACACTGGGAGGAACATGGGATCCAGGTCTTGGCCCAGAGATGCTACTGTGTCAGTAAGTCCCCAGTAGCCAAGAGGACTGATCTGCCCTATCCTCCAGAGGGTGAAGACACTGCTTCATTAGAGCAAGGAAAATACTGCATCTGCCTTCGGTGCAGAGGGGCATAGACACACAGATGTCACGGTGCTGATAGAAGGAAACCACCTGTAGCTCACCAAGATGCACCTTCTCCTCAAACAGCACTTCCTGTCACACAGTAATCTGTAAATGTGCTTGCAGAGATCAAAAATGACCCTAAAAGGCACATGTCCTCAGACATTTGGCTTTTGGGAAATGATCGGATAGGAAGATGCTAACTAAACTCATCAATGCATTAATCTACTGGTAAGTGCATAGCTAAACAGGGCACTGGGAGGTAGGAGACGAGCTAAAGGGTGTGGGTCAGAAGGGCATGGCCTTGGGGTTTAGATCTTGGCCCAGCCTCTTCCTCTCTGGCTCTTCCCCTCTCTGCTTCCTGGCCATCATAACATGAGCAGCTTTCCTCCTGCATGTGCTCTCACCACCATGATATTCGCCCTCACCATGGTTCTAAAATCAACTGAGCTAGCTGACCATGGACTATAACATTTGAAACCATGAGCCAAAATAAGCCTTTCATCTTTTAAGTTGTTTGTGTCAGGTATTTTATCACAGGGACGGAAAACTGCTTAACAGAGAAAAATGCATCAAGAAGTGGGGTCATTGCTGTGCCTATACCTGACCATGTCAGAAGCCTTTAGAGCTAGTTTGTGGATGGAGTTTGAAAGACTTGGGAGATGCAGACTAGAGAAGTCTTAGACTATCATAAGTGGATCCCAATCAATGATTCTAGTGTGGGCTCGGAAGACCGAAATGCTGATAGAAGGATGATCTGGCTGAGGAAATCTCAAGGCAGCACAACATTCAGGATGTGGCACACATATTGTTCGTTTTTTCTAGCCACATTTTCAGTGAGCAATTATGAGTAAGAAGCAGAACAGAAAGTCTTGAAAAACTTGCACTTTGGCCAGGAAAAGAATACACGACTAGAGTTGAGGCCAAAGAGAGTATGACTGCTTCTTTTTAATGGTGTTGATATCTTCAGCAAATACTTTGCACCAGAACAAAAAGAAAGATGCCCTGAGGACACCTTGAGGAATCAGCAAGCTCTCACTCACGGCAGGCTCAAGGATGTAAAAGTGTTAACTTTTCATTCGAGAGAAGAACTCCCAGCCTCTTCTCAAACATGGCTGCCTAGAGAACAGGTTCTGTGTGATAAATTTCACCATGCTCACCCATCCAGGTACTCAGAGGCCATTGCAGCCACAGTCCAAGGGACCCAGCTGTTGTTAAGCCAGTGGTAGACCTTGGTATTGTCCACATGATGCTGGTTTTGCAGACATGCAAAACACAAGGGTTACAGGGTCCTGGAGGATTCCACCTAGATTTCAAAGGAAGGTTTGGGAGCTAGGAATCCCTATGGGCAGCCCCTAAAAGGACGATATGTGAAGTTGTGGTAGTGAAGGTGAAGCTGCAATGGAAACGTTAGAGATGCCAGTTTCCTCTGCTGAGAAAAGCTGCAAGCAATGAATAGAGCCAGGCTTAGAGGTCATGTGGGTTGCAATGGGCAAGGCCATAAGGACAGAGCTGCTCAAGCACTCTGGAGCTCACATCATAAATATTGCCCCAGATGCTGAACATAGACCTACAAGATTTAATGTTTTCCCTGCCAGGTTTCCATATGTCTTTGGGCCAATTCCTCCTTGCTATTTTCTATTTTCCTATTCCTCCTTTCCAAAATGGGAAACTGAAATCTGCCATTACATGTTAGAAGTATATAACTTTTTTTTTTTAACCTTTATAAGGTCTCACACTTAAAGGTTGCCTTGAGTCTCAGAGGAGACTCTAGACTTCAACTTTTGAGCCATGTTGGAACTGTTAAAACTTTGGGACACTCTTGGAGATGGACTGAAAACATTTTGCATAATGAGGTAGACTTGAGCCTTTCGAGTCCAGGGGTGGAATATTGGGGTTTGAAGCAATGTCCCCGAAAGGCTCATACATTTAGTAGCAGGGCTTTTGGGAAGTGATTGGATCATGAGGGCACTAACCTCATAAATGGATCAAGTTGTTGAGATCATAGCTGAATGGGTTGTCAGGAGCTGGGAACTAGGTGAAGGGAGTGGGTCACGGGGTGCGGGGGATGGCCTCGGGGTCTGCATCTTATCTGCAGCTCCTTCATCTTGGACTCATTCCCTCTCTATTCGGCTTCTTAGCTGCCATGAGGTGAGGAGCTTTCTTCCACCAAGCCCTGCCATTATGTACTTCTGCCTTGGAGCCAGCTGACTATGGCCTGAAACTTCTGAAACCGTGAGCCGAAATAAACCTTTCCTTCTTTAAGTTGTTTTTTCTCAAATATTTGGTCAGAGCAATAAAAGCTAACGGAAGGTAGCAATACTACAGGGCAGTCCATGAATTTATGTCCAACTTTAAATGCACTTTTTAACACTGTGAAATATTTATAAAATGGTACCAACATGGCAGTTTAAACTGGTTTAATTTTCTAAAATTGTTTACAATTTAGTAATCAATCCTTTTAAACAGTTTTTCTTTATATTCTGAAAGTAATAAAAGTATGGCTTTAGTCAGCCTTCAGGCCAGTAAGTTTAATTTCCAATTCTAAGTCCTTTTTTAACTTTCTGTAATGTTTCAAAATGCTTATGGCTCCCAGGACCTTTCACCAAAAGCACACCTTACTTTCCTGTGTCTCTAGAACTTCTAAGAATACAAGTCTCTGTGTACTGGCAAGGGGGAACTCTGGGGCCATCTCACACAGAGGGACTAGGATCTGCTGCGGGCAAGGTCTCCGCAATGGTCCCAGGGCTTACTCTACTGCAGCCATCTTTCCACCTCCCCGTGCCCTCCTCCCTCTCATGAAATGATCATTTCCTTTGCACCTTTGTGACTTACCCTTTGGACTTGGGAGATTTACATCTTTCGAGCAGATGTTGTTCATCATCTTTATTAAACAGAGAAGTCACATCTTTCCAACCTCGGAAACTTGTTCCCTGAACCTAACAAAAGGTTAAGAAAAATATCAAATCTGATGTAGCAAATCAACAGATCTGTTTTCTATTCCAGTGAATTCAGTGTCATGGAGATGGGAATATGGTCTCAGAGAGGCATTGTCAGGCAATTTAGTTATGTAGCCATCATAGTGTACTGACACAAACCCAAATGGTCTAGCCTGTCCACATCTCCATATATTGTACAGACTTCCACCCACAAGGCCATGAGCACCCTAAAATAATGAAGAAAAGCATGAGATGGTAAATATAGAAACTGATGCTGTACTCATTGATCAAGTGTTATGTGCTGATCATCATCCTATGTGCTGTACTTGATATGACTGGCATCCTCAAAAACCCAAAGAGTCTGGGCACTATGACACCACAATGGCTGTGACAGCACTCGGACAACGTCTGTGCAGCAGGTCCACTGCTGACCACATGTTGCCTAGCAGAGCTACCTCTTCCCTCTGCATGTTTCCTGTTAGCCACCTGTCATCTTAAATAGGATGGTGACTGTCCTACCTGCTCATCCATGCTGCTGAGTGACCTATATCTGGTAAAATGCTAGTCAGTAATCACATCTTCCTTAAAGCAGGTTGGGATAATGAAGCTAATGGTCAAATGAAGCTTCCAATACAAGTAGGAATCAGGTCTGTAATGCTTGGAACTGACCCCAGCAAAGGGCACCCTGTCTGAGTCCTGGGCATTCTCTGTACCACTGGAGGCTTCAGGGTCTGTGGAGGAACTCTGGCCTCTGCCCTCACCTTCACAAGTACAAGCGTCTGAGAAGAAATAATGTTTGGTTGATTCTGAACAAATTATTTTATACAATTTCTATTTCTAAAATCAGAGTATCTTATAATTAATGGCACCTTAGATCTATAAGCTATTTTGAATTTTTTTTTAAGAAGGAAAGTATACAAAGAAACCAACATTTCCTAAAAGCCCAGATTTGCATTGCATGGTTTAACATTCCTCTGCATCCATCATCTCCGCTGGGTCTGGTCAGGAGGAAAGGACCTGCCAAAGGGCAGGCCTAGCTTTGAATAATCCACAATATTATAAAAATGGGATACAAAAAATTAAACAACCATGAAAACTGAACTGAGAGACTAGGATGCCACTGGTATGAGACAATCATAAATACAACTGGCCCACCGAGGTAGCCTTGTGACTAAGGATCCAGTGTTCCCAGAATGGATGTCCTCAAGAGCTGATGGAGGACCCATAGATCCCACTGTCTACCCTGGGCAGAGGTCTGTGCTGCAAATGGCAGATGCCCCAGCAAATCCATTGGGAAGACATGAACGATCATGGAACTGGTACTGTGCCCACTCCAAAAGAAACCGCAACATCACTAAACCAGGTGTTTAGTATTAGCTTTCCATGCTATTCTGAGGCCTTCCAGGCAGGGAGAATTCTCCAGTGCTGTGAAACACTGACATGCATATTTGGTAGTCCACATGGCTCAGCACGATGAGCTGCTAACAGGATCCCACCAGGAAGTCTGAATCCAGAGTTTTACCCATCTAGACCCTGCAGAGTAACAGTACACATCAACGAGCCGCATCCCTAGACTGAACAATAACCCACAGGACAGACACTGGGACCACAGTGTGGAAACTGAGCTGTAAGGCTCTCAGCCACTCAGCTAAAACAAGCAGCTGGAGAGGGAGCCACTCGGTCCAGACACCTGGTGGTTTTGATAAAAGTAATTTCATATGTACTCTTTGTAAAGATACTTTTTAAAAAAGCCTCATGAGCCATGTAGAAGAGACAGTTCTCATGCCACAGTGACATCAGATTTTAGGGGATGCGGAAGCCAGGCCTATAGTTTGCAGCACTCCCCTCACCCAAGGTTTCACTTTCCACAGGTTCAGTTACCCCCAGTCAGTTGAGGTCCAAAAATATTAAATGGAGAAATCCAGAAATAAATAACTCTTAAGTTTCAAATTATGCTGCATCCCGAGCCGTGTGAACAGAGCCCCTGCAGTCCTGCCCCATCCCACTGGGCCTGAGTCACCCAGTCCGGTGTGCCTGCTGCACACACTGCCTACCTGGTTGTCACTCAGGAGATGTCAGGCATAGGGGTGGCTGTTACAGTGTCACGGCACTTGGGTCAGCAACCTGCACTTTACATAACGAGGGCTGCAAAGCTCAAGAGTGCAGATGACAGCAGTTTCATGATACTGCTGTGTTTTATTATGAGTTACTGTTATCAGTCTCTTACTGTGCCTAATGCATGGTTTATTTCTGGATGTCCTCCAAGAGCCTCAGGTGCTCACAAGGGGGGCTTTTGGAAGGTGACTGGATCATGGGGCCTCATAGCTGACTTGCTGTCAGCAAGTGGTCACTGGAGTGTGGCCTGGAAGGGCATCTCTCTCTTCCTGGCTCCTCCCTCATTCTCTGCTTCCTGGCTCCCATGACCTGAGCAGCTCTCCACCAGGACCCTCTGCCATGCTTTTTTTCTCTAGAGCTGGGCTGAAACGTGAGCCAGAATAAACCTCTCCTCCTTTAAGTTATGGATGTGGGGTACTGTGTCCCAGTAAGGAGGACTGTGACTAAGACATTAACTCTTACTGTAGGCCTGTACTTATGGGTAAAAACAGTGCACACAGAGTTTGGTTACAGGCATCTGGTGGGTCTTGGAAGTTCCCTCTTGAGGATAAATGGATGAGGGTGCTGCACTTACTACTACTGGACACCAAGGCTCTGTCATCATGAGTGTGCTGCTGTGCTTCCTGGCATGGATAACAAAGAGGTTGATGCACGAGCCAGGAGTGGTGGCCCACACTGGGAACCTGGCTACCTGGGAGGCTTAGGCGTAGGAGGACCATAGATTCAAGCCCAGGCTAGGCAATTTAGTAAAATAAAAAGAGCTGGGATGTAGTTCTCTGCTGCCTGGTTCAGTCCCCACTACTACTACTCAAAAGGAAGTGGGTGAATGTAGACAGTTGCACAGAGCCCACAGTCCACATCCTGCCACAGCGGTCACACCCCCAGAAGCTTCCTATAGGCCTGGCACCAGGGTGCTGCTGGCTGGGGTAACCTGTGAGGGAGGGAGAGCAACTCCCTCCCCCAGGCTCTCTTTGGCACTGCCATGTAAATTGCCACTATCCTGTCCCTCCTGAAGACGGATCATGGAGATGGCCTCACTCTGGGGGCAGTGTCCAAGCCACGGATGCTGTGCTGTCCACCTGCAGCCAGGCTGGGTTCAATCATGACACAGGAAAGGCAATTCTGAATTTCCAGCCATTCTGAAATTAAGACTCAGATAATCTTAGGTTTAAACATTCAAGTTAAGAGCAACTAGCAACTGGTAATTCTAGAGGAATTCAGGCACCTAATCTAAGTCAACTGTGAAACCAAATCCAAGCCCCTTTTATCGTACTAGAGTTAGAAGGCTACAGGGAAAGTTCTGAGAGATCTGCCCAATGCAGGACATCTCAGAGCAGCATGGGCCCAGGCTGACCTCATGGAACCAGGTGGACCTCAGACAGGAGAGACCACTATGCTATGCTCCTGTCCCCTGAACAGGGTTTATGCCTATTCTCCATCACAGAACCAGGTACACTCAGAAGTATATCATATCGTATCCAGGACCACACACCCATCCAAACACTGTGTCTAGAAACACACACAGACACACCCCACTATCCAGGACCACACCTATATACACCCTGTCTAAGATCACACATACACACTGTACTGTACCCAGGATCACATACACACACAGACACTGTACTGTGGGGTCACACACACACTGTACCCACAGAGGGGAACAGGGGCTTACAGGCCCAGGACTGTTGACCCCTGTCATTTAGGAAGCTTCCCACAGCACAGGCACTAACAGTCTCATGGTCTTCTCCATCAGGAATGCAGCTACACCGCTTCAGGCAGGAGTGGTTTTCCTCCTGCAATTTCTGTAAAATGTTACCTTTAAAAAACATTTGGGGGGGGGGGGTACTGGGGATCAAACTCAGGACCTTGTGCTTGCAAGACAGGCGCCAGAACCACTGAGCTAAATCTCCGGCCCCTAGAAAACATTTTTAAAGACTCTGAGACAGGATCTCACTGCATTGCCCAAGCTGGCCTTGAACTGCTGGGCTGGAGGGATCCCTTCGAGTAGCCAGAAGTGCAGGTGCTCCCTGCCACACCCTGCTGAAAATCAAAGTTTAAGGCAGGGTGGGAAGAGGGAAGGCGGCAGAAGAGCAGGAGGAGAGGACAGACCGGCTGCGGGAAGGCCACACTGAGGCCTCACAGGCCTACGAAGGGACCGAGGCCCTGTGGCCGCAGCGTGCTGGCCACGTCTTCTCTCCCTCTAGTCCCTTCTCTTGTCTAGCCAGGTGCAGAAATCAGAAGTTTTAGGAGAGTCTGGAGGTGGCTGGAGTCACAACCCCTCACTCCCCACAGAAATGAAATGGAGGCCCCCGGCCAGAGTGGCCTCGCGCGCGTGGGGGCCGTGGACTGCGCTCCACCGAGCACCACGTCACATGCACCTGGCCCAATTCCCTCAAGGCCTGAGCATTGGGGCCGGGGACTTAGCTCGGGGTTTCCACTGCCTGCCTCACAAGCGTAAGGTCCCAAGCTTGATCCCCGGTACAAAAAACCACAAAAACCCGAGGGTAGCACCCACGGGGCCTCAGAGGAGAAGCCATCAGCACTCAGCCACACACACCTGGCCAGTTCCTGAGAGTGCTCCAGTTAGGGTTTCAGCTAACCAACTTCTTTGCAGTCTGTCATTCAGCTCAGAACAGCCCACATGAAGACCCTGAAACCATTTAAATTCTGACACACTAAAAACAGTCAAAGGCACTGAAAACACTCACTAAGATAAACAAACTTGTGTTCTTTGCTTGTACACATGTTGGAAGCCAGACTTCCAATTCATTCAGAGCTTGTAGGCCTCATTTTTAATCATTTCCCATTCTGAAAACTTCTACATTATGTACTTTCAAAGTAAACATATTTGAAAACTAAATGACTAATTACTATTAATAATG